GCTGTACGCCGGCTCCCTCGGCCAGTAAAGCGAGATGAGCGCCACAACCCCAGAGTCGGTCACGACTGGACCTAACGGTCAGGGGTTCCTTTACTTACCTCTCCCTACTCCATCATTATTTTTAAAAATTGCTTTTCTACCACCATATCATAAACAAACGTACATGCCAAAGCGGTTTAAATCAATAAAACCATACTATAAATCCATTAGAAAGTTAAAAACGGACATGAATTGACCCTTGTGTAAGGACGGACTCCTGCTGGAATAGAAAAGTTTTCAGCAGGTGTTTTAAAGTTCTACTGCTGGATCTCCAGTGGCAGAGAGTTCCACAGAGCCGGCCCGATGATGACCCCAAAGGCTCGATTTCTTGTGGTTGTCAAACGAGCCTCGCAGAGTCAGGGCTGTGGCATTGGTAGGGCTCAGGCAAAGGGGATGGGCGGGTGCAATGCTATTTGGAACCAGAAGGCAGGCTAGAATTTGGGGGAGCCTAAGGGAACGTCCCCCAGGTTCAGTCCCCAGGATCTCCACCTTGGGCAGGAAAAGACATGCCTGAATCCCCGAGGAGCCACTGGGACCGAGATCTGAGTCTGCAGGAAGCAGCTCTTCAGATCAGCATTCAGAACCATGAGGACTAGAATCTTATGATTTTAGTTTTAGGGGGAGAGCTGTAGCTCTGTGGCAGGAGGTCTGCACGCAGGAGGTCCCTGGTCCAATATCTGACAGCATCCACACGTAGGGCTGGGAACTACCGTATTTTTCGCTCTATAAGACGCACCAGACCCCAAGACGCACCTAGTTTTGGGAGGAGGAAAACAAGAATAGAAAAATTCTGAATCTCAGAAGCTGGAACAGCAAGAGGGATCGCTGCGCAGTGAAAGCAGCAATCCCTCTTGCTGTTCTGGCTCTGGGATAGCTGCACAGCCTGCATTTGCTCCATAAGACGCACACACATTTCCCCTTACTTTTTAGGAGGGAAAAAATGAGTCTTATAGAGCAAAAAATACGGTATCTCCTGCCTGAAACCCAGGAGAGATGCTGTCGGTCAGAGCAGACAGTACTGGGCTAGATGGCTGCTGCAATAAAAGGATCCTGGTCTATGATGGGCCTTTGGGGCCTGATGTGGCATGGATTCTCCTTGAACCTTGGACCTTCATCCGGCTAAACTTTGGTTCTCTGGGACCCGCGTAAATTCCGTTAAACCCCCCTCTTTTCCAAAGCAATTGCAACTTCGAAATGAACAACCCTGCAGAGCTGTTGTTGAGAATTTCCCATGCTAGTTTATCTGGAAGCATTTGCAACCGCTGCTCTGCTGTGCGGGATACAGCATGGCGCAGTCATGAGAGTTCTGAATTAAAACCCGGGACAGACCCGGGTTCGAATCCCCACTCAGCCGTGAAACTCCCTGGTGCTGACCTTGGCCGAGTTGCTGTCTTCTCACAGGGCTGTTGTTGTTGTGGGGGTTAAAGGAGGAGGGGGAGAACCACGTGGACCACCTTGAGCTCTTTGGAGAGAGAAAGTTTCCTCCATAGCAGGTGGGGTTGGTCTGGATGTCCCTCTGGGTCCCTTCCAATGCGACAATTCTCTGATCTCAGCTGTACACATGTGCTGCGCATCGTGTGCGTGGTGTCATGTAGCCACTTTCTGCCGCCACGTGGCCCCTGGAGGGTCCGCGAAGGACAGAAGCGGCCCTCGGCCCAGAAAATCCGAGCTAGCCCTGCGTCGAAGCGCCAAAAAAAGGCTTTTGACCGTTCTGAGCTGACCTTGCTGTCAGATGAGGGGGGCCTCCTCTTTGTGAAGGCATATTTTGGGACTGTTCCTAACCCCCACCCCTCCCTCTCCTCTGCCTTTTATTGGCAAAGGCTAATCTGGCACCGCGGCGGCAGGCTCAGATCCTGCGGCCGCCGTTTCTGGATTTGCCTGACGTCGCGGACAGCCCACAAGTGAGTCACCGCCATCCGGGAGCTGCTGTCCTCAGCTGACTTCCGCATTTCCAAAAGGGACTGTCAAAAAGACCTAAAATAAGAGGCTCTTATCAAGAGCCCTAGAAACTTCCACGCAGGCGGTGCGAGAGAGCGAGCCCAGCTTAGGACGATTTCTCTCGCCTCTGCCACCCCTTCTACGCCCTTCCTTTGCCTCTCTGATCGAGGTGAGTGGTTGGGGTCTCAGGATGCGACCGACAGGTGGGAGGAAAGCCCCTCCGTCCTGCAGATGGGGCCCACGAGGTGGACTTTGGTCTGGCCTTCCTCTTTCGTAGCCTTGCCCGGAGGCGCCGCTGCAGATGGCCTTCTGCACTCCAAACAGATGCGCTGCATAATAATAATAATAATAATAATAATAATAATAATATAATCTGGCTGAGTTTCCCCAGCCACTCTTGGCGGCTCCCAATCAAGTGTTAAAAACAGTACAGCGTTAAATATAAAAAACTTCCCTAAACAGGGCTGCCTTAAGATGTCTTCTGAATGTCAGGTAGTTGTTTATCTCTTTGACATCTGGTGGGAGGGTGTTCCACAGGGCAGGCGCCACCACCGAGAAGGCCCTCTGTCTGGTTCCCTGTAGCCTCACTTCTCTCAGTGAGGGAACCGCCAGAAGGCCCTCGGCGCTGGACCTCAGTGTCCGGGCAGAACGATGGGGGTGGAGACGCTCCTTCAGGTATACTGGACTGAGGCCGTTTAGGGCTTTCAAGGTCAGCACCAACACTTTGAATTGTGCTCGGAAACGTACTGGGAGCCAGTATAGGTCTTTCAAGATTGGTATAATGTGGTCTCGGCGGTCGCTCCCAGTCCCCAGTCTAGCTGCCGCATTCTGGATTAATTGCAGTTTCCGGGTCACCTTCAAAGGTAGCCCCATGTAGAGCGCACTGCAGTAGTCCAAGTGGGAGATAACCAGAGCATGCGCCACTCTGGCGAGACAGTCCGTGGGCAGGGAGGGTCTCATCCTGCGTACCAAATGGAGCTGGTAGACAGCTGTCCTGGAGACAGAGTTGACCTGCGCCTCCATGGACAGCTATGAGTCCAAAATGACTTCCAGGCTGCGCACCTGGTCCTTCAGGGGCACAGTCGCCCCATTCAGGACCAGGGAGTCCCCCACAACCGCCCGCCCCCTATCCCCCAAAAACAGTCCTTCTGTCTTGTCAGGATTCAACCTCAATCCATTAGCCGCCATCCATCCTCCAACCGCCTGCAGCTGAGCTAAGGCTCTTTCTCTGATTGCTTCATTTTATTTCCTTAACCTTTTCTCACCCCTTTTCTCCTGTCGTCGTGGGACTCCAGGCTGCACACATTCATTTCCAGTATTGACTATCGGTTTTATGAAAGCCCTCTCACAAAAGCGTAAGGACACAGCAACATCCAAACAGCAAAAGGCGTACGGAGCAGCCGTTTTGTGATCTGCATTTTCAACCGATTCGGTTTTTTAAGACTCTATGGCCACATAATTCTGCGAGGCCTTAATTACTTCCGAACCATTGTTTTTCAGCTTTCTGCAGTTCATCTGCGTGGTTCTAATTTGCGCAGGCCTCCCTGAGTCTTCGTCTAGGGGGGGAAAGGCGAGGTTTGAATAAGTACAGTAGGAACGCTAGTAATTTCACAGACACAATTGCCGCTGTACGCACAGCGATGAAAAATAAATAAATAGAAAGGGGGCTTACCAAAGTGTTGGAAACTCTCACAGGGCCGTCGGGAATCTGTTTGGGAGTTTCCCAAAGACCAGAAAGCAAGGCAAAGGCCTGAAAAACAAAACCTCTTTTTTTTCCCAGCGGGAAAACCCTTTGTGGGAAGAGGTTTCCAGCCCTCTGCCTTGCTTTTTTAATAAATTAATTTAATCAATTTTTTGATACAAACACCAACTGCAAAAGACACAAACAACAAAAACCATGATAACAGTAATAACACAATTTGACAATTCAGATTTGGATTCACTGATCTACCCATGACTACACCTTTTTTAAGGGAAGTGGGTGGCGCTGTGGGTTAAACCACAGAGCCTAGGGCTTGCTGGTCAGAAGGTTGGCAGTTCGAATCCCCACGACGGGGTGAGCTCTCGTTGCTCGGTCCCTGCTCCTGCCCACCTAGCAGTTCGAAAGCACGTCAAAGTGCAAGTAGATAAATAGGCACCGCTCCGGTGGGAAGGTAAACTGCGTTTCCGTGTGCTGCAAGCCTCAGCTTCAGGATCTGTGCTTCCAGTGAGCACTCAGGGCTGATTTCCTTCAGAATGGATAGATTTGATCTTCTTGCAGTCCATGGGACTCTCAAGAGTCTCCTCCAACACCAGAATTCAAAAGCATCAATTCTTCAGCGATCAGCCTTCTTGATGGTCCAGCTCTCACTTCCATACATCACTACTGGGAAAACCAGAGCTTTAACTGTATGGACCTTTGTCGGCAAGGTGATGTCTCTGCTTTTTAAGATGCTGCCTAGGTTTGTCATTGCTTTTCTTTTCTTTTTTTAATAATTTTTATTGAATGATTTTATGTTACAAAAAACAATACAGCCATACTACCACTAAATATAATTAAGAAATAAAAATTACATACATCAATATTTAATTTGTTATTTACTGTCTTATTTCCTCCCAAACATTCCATACAAAAGCACACATATGTGCAGACACCCACACTCCCAAGAAGCGGGAAACAGAATTAATCCTTAATTGTTATCCGCCTACTTTTACTTCCTTTGTCACTCGAACGCTAGCACGGAGTCAAAACTATTACAGTGGTACCTCAGGTTACATACGCTTCAGGTTACAGACTCTGCTAATCCAGAAATAGTGCTTCAGGTTAAGAACTTTGCTTCAGGATAAGAACAGAAATCGTGCTCCGGCGGTGCGGCAGCAGCAGGAGGCCCCATTAGCTAAAGTGGTGCTTCAGGTTAAGAACAGTTTCAGGTTAAGAACAGACCTCCGGAACGAATTAAGTGCTTAACCCGAGGTACCACTGTATTGTAGTGTTGAACGTATCTTCTGTAACCATTGAGCTTGTTGTGTTTCTGTTTCCCCAGGTCTGTCGAGCTCTGGAAACCTCCAGCAGCCCTTCCCTGAGCCTGTCTCCCCTCGAAAGCCCATACGCCACCGTCCGAGCCTACCACCAGGGCAACACCACTGCCTCCCGCAAGAAAGTCCTCCCCCTCGTCCGAGATTTCCTGCGGGAGTGGGACCGGCTGGCCCCCGCCGCCATGCAGCCCGAGGTCACGGCCCCATGCGACAAGACGAGGCCGGAGCCCCGAGGCACCGAAGCCTGCGAGCGAGAGCGGGGGGCCGGTGGCCCCAGGAAGGACCCCGCGAAGCCACACCGCCTGGGGGACGACCTGGCCGCGGACGACGACACCCCGCTGCCCCCCACGCCGATGAACAGCCTGGTGGACGAGTGCCCCCTCGACCGGGGGCCTCCCCAAACTGTCGGCCGAAGCCGTCTTCGAAAAGTTCAGCCGCATCGCCGAGGCTCGCTCCTCCGCGGACGACGAACCGGGGAAGAAGTGATGCTGGACGGACTGCTTTTTGAACCCGGGGAAATTCTCTAGCAGGGGTGTGTGAATGTGTTTGTGTGCGCAAACGGACGCACGGACGGACGTGGGGGAATCCAACGTGCGGCACTTTTCTCCGCCACGCGGTCCCGCACGCGGAGGAACTAGAGGCAGCGGGGAAAGGATTTTGGGCAGGGAGATGGTTGGACAAAGCGTTTCTGCGGCTTGGGGGGACAGACCTTGAGCACGGGGTCTACACTAATGGAAAAGGCTAGAGACAAAGTTTCACAGAGCAGGTAATCATAATAATAACAATTCATTATTACGGCCGGAGACCAGTTTGCAAAACACATAATGCGACTGCACTCCCGAAAGCAAAGCAGACATTTAAAACAATATACAACAATGGCAGGTATCATTTTCTAGATCGCAGGGAGACCTCTGTCGACGGGGGTCCCAGGGCAGGTCTGGCTTTTGGAAACGATTCGTGTCTACTGTTCGCTCCCCGGTTCCATCTTCCGTTAAGATCAAGAGGTTTTGATCCAGGGAGCCCAAGGCTCGTTGAAACGGGGAAGAGAACGGTCCAGCGAGTTGTTGATCCAGAGATAGGCCGTTGTCTCAATAGGAATCAGAGAAAGACATTGATATCTGCGGGACATGCACACACGCACCCTGTTTGTCTCACCGTCACCTCCGGTCCAACAGCTCAGGCAGGCTTTTTTGGGAAACCTTCCAGACCTGTTAGACCAGGCCAGAGGGGAAAGTACGGCGAGACTTTTAGCTCCGCACCGGGGCAGCCGCTGCAGACGAAACTGAACCGTCACTTTTTGCAAGATTTTGGGTCTGGGGAGGGCTTCACCGCGGGCCAAAGACTTCAGCTGCCTCCGTGTGTCTGTAGCATGCTGTTGTGGAGTGTGTTTGAAATGGATTTAATACATTTTCTAATGAATAAAAGCAAAAACAAAGAACCTGCACTCAAATATACATTCTATTTTAGAATATATCGGGTCTTTTATTTCTGTGCCAGCTCCTGGCAGATCAGATGTCTAGGAATACTGTTTTTTTAAAAAAAACACCTGTTTTTTTTATTAAAAAAATTCTATATGTCCATCCTCAATATACCCATTAGTCAAAATAGAGAGACCGACCAGAGGGGCAGAAGACAGAAAAGGTGATGGAGGAGAGAGGGAGGGAGAAAAGGATGCCCCACCCACTTTTGGCTCTGGCTCCACCCACCCCTTGGCTTGGCCCCACCCACACCCACACACCATCCTCTGCTGATCAAACATTTCCCCTCCCTCACCATGATCAATCCATCAGATACTGAGAACCAGGGTGGGTGAGCGTTGGATGGATCCGGGTTCGAAAATCTCCACTCAGCCACAAAGCTCTCGCCGGGGTGATTTTGGGCCAGCTGCCGTCTCTCAGCCTGACCTACCGCACAAGGCTGTTGTGAGGATGAAGCAGGGAGGGGGTGCAGGGGGAAAAATACACGCCACTTTGAGTTCCTTGGAAGTAAAAGCTAGGTCCCCAAATGGAACGAAGAAAGAAAAAAAAACACACCCATTTTTTTCTCTTAGCTGTGAAATTCAGGGCTGAGGGCAGCTGCACCTGTTGAATTGCTAACCGCTTGTGCAGGCAGTGGTGAAGGTTCGAGGTTCCTCCCAGGGAATGCAGGAAAGCTAAAGTTTTTGTCCCAGGAGGAGATTTCCGCCCCGATCTGCGACGGAGCACAACATGCGCAGGATTGAGAACGGGGGGTGTAAATTGGATCTGAGTATGGGCACCGCCTAAGGGACGCGGGTGGCATTGTGGGTTAAACCACAGAGCCTAGGACTTGCCGATCAGAAGGTCAGTGGTTTGAATCCCCGCGATGGGGTGAGCTCCCGTTGCTCGGTCCCTGCTCCTGCCCACCTAGCAGTTCAAAAGCACAAAGTGCAAGTAGATAAATAGGTACCACTCTGGCAGGAAGGTAAACAGCGTGTCCATGCGCTGCTTTGGTTCGCCAGAAGCGGCTTAGTCCTGCCGGCCACATGACCCGGAAGCTGTACGCCGGCTCCCTCGGTCAGTAAAGCGAGATGAGCGCCGCAACCCCCGAGTCGGCCACGACTGGACCTAATGGTCAGGGGTCCCTTTACCTTTTTATGGACACTGCCTATCTGGGCTGCATTCCTTTCAACGGGGGTATGCAGGTACAAGCACACCGAGACACGAACACATGCCGCATGTCAGTCATAAAAATACACATTTCACAAGGTTGCCGAAGAAGTGGGCCGTTTATTGACGGAAAAGGGCTTTTAAAACTTGACAGTGCTGCTACTCCACTAGCCAACACTAGAGGGCAGGCTTGGGTGCAAAACAGGAGAATATGGAGACCATGTCTGGCCTCCCAGGTAGACTCTCACTGCCTATGGAGGCTCCATTCCTAGCTTTCGTGGCAAGTAACATCAGAAGCCCCAACAAAAAGCCTGAATGTTGGCCAGAAAAGATGGTGCAGTGCTGGCCAGAATGTTGGCCAGAAAAGATGGTGCAGGTCTACAGCTGTTTCACTTGCTGAAGAGCACGAGAACTGAAAAGGTTTTCAGGTGGCAATTTTTATTTGCTGTTTGGTTCAACTTGGTTCCCAGGTTTCTTAGGGGCCACTGGCCTGGTCCACATACAGAGCTCCTCTGATGTGCGTAATCATCACCATAATAATAATTTTATTATTTGTATTCCAGCCATTCTGGGCCGCTTCCAGCAAAATATAAAAAACACCACAAAACAGCAAAACTTTAATTGGCGAAACCTATCGGAAGAATAAGAAATAAAGATAAACTTTTTAATAAAAGGATGGAAATGGTTTACCGAATATTTACAGATAAATTGCAAACGGATAAAAACATTCGCAGGATTATTGTAATAACCTGCAGTTTCATAAGAGTATATACTTAAAAGCAGATAATTAAATGAGCAAATTAAATGAATTTGGATAGGCGGAAGGTATTAAAAAATAAATTTAAGGAGCCGCAGAAAGAGGGGGAAGGAAGTCAAACACTGAAGTGTTAAATTGGTTGTAAAACTAACGAAATGTATAAACTTGAAAAGTATAAGTAAAAACATTTTTAAAAACCATTAAAAACTCCAGATACAGAGCTGCTTTCAGATGTCTTCTAAAAGTCATATAGATTATCTCCTTGCCATCTGACGGGTGGGCGTTCCACAGGTCGGGTGCCACCACTGAGAAGGCTCTCTTCTGCCTGGTTCCCTGAAACCTCACTTCTCACAGAATGATAGAATTGTAGGGTTGGAAGGGACTCTGACGGTCATCTAGTCCAGTGTTTCCCAACCACTGTTCCGCGGCACACTAGTGTGCCGCGAGACGTTGCCTGGTGTGCCGCGGGAAAAATTAAAAAATTGAAAGATTTTTTTTTTTAAGTCAAATTTTCGATTGGGGCGCCGTCACTAGATGACCCCTGGGGTTCCCTCCCTCCCTCCCGCTCTGCGCCTCCCTCCTCCTCCTCCTCCGGGGAGGCCCTTCCTGGCTCTCGGCCAAGGCTTGGCAGCTGCCACTCACTCGCTCGCCCACCCGTCCCTCCATCCCTGCACCCGGCCTCTCCCCCTCCGTCCCCGGCGCGGGGGCTGCCAGGATCCGTATTCCCCTCGCCCTTGGGCTCCGCGCCCGCGCGGGGTGCGCAAACTACGTTTCCCAGCGTGGGCTGACGGGCCGGGCGTTTTGTTTGAAGCGCTCTTCTCCCGGCCATGGAATGAGCGCAGCGGCGGCGGCCGGGCGGGCAGGGGCTCTTCCGCGCAGACCCCGCGCAGCCTGCCTGCGCCCCCGCGGAGATCAGGCGGCAGGATGGAGCCCGGGGATCCCCGCGGAGGCGGAGCGGCGGCTGCCCCCCAGGTAGGGCTGCGTCGGGGTTTTTTTATTTTTGCAATGCTGCATCCGCGCTGGAGGGGACGCATCGGACCGCGGGGAGACCCCTTGGCGGGCGTGCAAGGCAATGCATGCATGCAGGCGTTGCATGGAGTGCAGTGCAATGCAATGGCAACGCGGCGCCCTGCATGCATGCATGCAACTTCCACCGGCGCTCCGGACTTGGCAGGTGAGGGGGGTCCCCAGTGGGCGGCAGAGAGAGCCGGGAGGGCGAAGGGGAGCCGGGGGGGAGCAGCGCTGCTCCCCGAGCCGAGCCCGAGGGGAAACTTTGGCGTCGTTGCGCCGGGTGTTGGAAGCGGAGGCTGGCGGGGACCCCTCACCTGCAAAACCTGGTCGCCTCTCATATATTTCGTGCATTGCATTCATCGCCCGCTTTCTCCTCCAAGGAGCTCCCGGGGGCGCGCGTGGTTCTCCCCGTGTTATCCTCGCAACAACAGCCCTGCGAGGTGGGTCAGGCGAGTGGCCCAAGGGAGCACCCAGGGATTGTCCTGGCCAGGTGGGGTGATTTGAACCCTGCTCTCTGCCCGGTCTTCGTCCTCATTTAGCCCCCACATGTGCATGACTGTGCATGACTGAGGTTTTCCCCCCTCGTCTTGGCTATGGTGTGAGTCTGTGCTGTTAATTAATGGGGTTCTGCCTTCGGAGAAGATGAGCCAGCCCTCACGGAGGTGATTATGTAATTTGCTAGCAATTCATGCCCCTCCCGGCGTGACGCTGCACGCTGACGTCACGGGGCTGTAATGGTGGTGTGCCTCGAGATTTTTTTCATGAAACAAGTGTGCCTTTGCCCAAAAAAGGTTGGGAAACACTGATCTAGTCCAACCCTCTGCAATTCAGGAATCTCAGCTAAAGCACCCAGCCAGGGAACTGCCAGAAGGCCCTCGGAGCTGGACCTCAGTGCCTGGCCCTCCATGATTCGAGGAGAAGTGAAGTTACAGGGACTTATGGAGCCTCCAGCCCCAGAGGCAGTCTACTCAGATTCCCTCTGGTCACTGTGATAACAGGAAACTGATCTAGATAGGCCACTGCACTTGACCACCAGCACTGCTCATATGTCCTTATTTCTCCCAATCCCTTTTTTGCTGTTTAGTCGTTTAGTCGTGTCCGCCTCTTCGTGACCCCCTGGACCAGAGCACGCCAGGCACTCCTGTCTTCCACTGCCTCCCGCAGTTTGGTCAAACTCATGCTGGTAGCTTTGAGAACACTGTCCAACCATCTCGTCATCTGACGTCCCCTTCTCCTTGTGCCCTCCATCTTTCCCAGCATCAGGGTCTTTTCCTGGGAGTCTTCTCTTCTCATGAGGTGGCCAAAGTCTTGGAGCCTCAGCTTCAGGATCTGTCCTTCCAGTGAGCACTCAGGGCTGGTTTCCTTCAGAATGGAGAGGTTTGATCTTCTTGCAGTCCATGGGACTCTCAAGAGTCTCCTTCAGCACCAGAATTCAAAAGCATCCATTCTTCGGCAATCAGCCTTCTTGATGGTCCAGCTCTCACTTCCATACATCCCTACTGGGAAAACCAGAGCTTGAACTATACGGACCTTTGTCGGCAAGGTGATGTCTCTGCTTTTAAAGATGCTGTCTAGGTTTGTCATTGCTTTTCTCCCAAGAAGCAGGCGTCTTTTAATTTTGTGGCTGCTGTCACCATCTGCAGTGATCATGGAGCCCAAGAAAGTAAAATCTCTCACTGCCTCCATTTCTTCCCCTTCCCCGTCCTTGTTTCTCCCCATCCCTAAATCTTACTTTAAAAACTTTTTTACCTCTTGCAACGGCATTAGGACCCAGCCGCCCCATTCTGAATCATGCTGAAAAACCAGTTTGGGATGAGTCCAGGCTGTACGCCGGCATCTTGGAACACCCCAGAGTTGCTGTTTTGTGTCTTTGACCTCCTCTTAGGAGCAGGCGAGGCCCGAATTGGTCCTTGCGGAGGGGCCGGATGGGCTCTTACGTTGGCGATGAGGCGGCTCTGCCTTCCGAAAGGTGAGTCCGAAAGGTGATTCGCAAGGGGATCTCAAAGGCAGAGAGTCTGCTCTGAGTGCAGAAGGCTCCTGGTCTAATTTCTGGCATCTCCAGGTAGGGCCAGGGGAAAAAAATTCCTTTCCAAAATCCTGGGGGGGTTGCTGCTGACCCGTGCGGGCGATACTGACCTCAATCCTTCGGTGCCCATATTGAAACAGTCATTTCCTCAAAACCTCAATGGCTGAAAGCTTGGCATTGTTTTTAAGGGAAGGGGGTGTCACTCAGTGGGCAAGAGAACCTGCCTTGCATGCAGAAGGTTCCAGGTAGATTTGGGAATGTCCCTGGGAGAGATGCTGCCGGTCCGTGTAGTAAACAACAGTGAGCTAAGTGGCTCTGACCAGGTAAAAACTGAATTCGTATGTTTCTGTGCCCTTTCCTGTTCAGTTTCCAAATCTCAGGGGTTCTTGGAGACATTCCCAAGGGAGGTTCAAAATAAGCCTGTATTATTCTATTTATTTATTTATTATTTACTGGATTTATATATATACCGTCCTTTGTCGCAAGTTCTCAGGGCGGTTTGTAACCGTGACAGAGAAAAGAAGGTTTGGAAAAATAATAATACTGTACACTGCTCTGCGGGTTACAGGAAGGAGTCCTCAGTCCCTTTTCCGTGCTCCACACCTTACGGGGTTAATCACCATGCCAAATCCTGGCTCTGCAGAACTCGGGATGCCGTGAATATAAAATGTTCCACACCCGACATTCGGGACCTGTCCAAAGTGTCTTAGGGGCCAACGCCCACGTCGTGGTGTCGACAGAGAGTCAGTCTGGGAGACCAGAGTTTGAATCCTCGCTCGGCCATGAAGGACGTGGGGCGTCCTTGGGTCACGTTGCGGCTTCTCAGCCTAACCGACCTCTCGGGGTTGTTTTGTGAGGGTGAAACGGGGAGAGAACCAAGTTCAAAGGTGTCACTATTAATATACAAAGCCCTTAACTAATGGGACCGGTTTACCTTCAAAATTGCCTTACCCCATAAACGCCCCTGGGCCACTTCGATTTGTGGAACTGGCGCTGCTACATAATTCCTGTACTGCATTTGCAAGATTTTATTGTTTAGCGTGTCAACTTTGGAACTCCCTGCCTATTGATATCAAGCGTCTTCACTGTAGTCTTTTGGGGGCCTGCTAAAAACCAGGGCTGGGCAATAATCTGGCTTCCCCCCATTTTTCCATAGGAGGCACACATCACGATTTGCAATATATTGCCAGGTCAAAAATTATGAAACCGAGGTCACGATGTGGACTTCAAACTGATTTTGGATGATATATTGATATATCGCCCAGCCCTACTGAAAACATTGCTGTTTAGACAAGCCTACCCAGATGTTTGGAAAGTTGATGCGAGTTCTGTTTTTGGCCTATTTCTGTTTCAACTTTCTGAGCTTTTAATTATTGTTGTGTAGAAATTAGATTATTACAGTGGTACCTCTGGATGCGAACGGGATTCGTTCCGGAGCCCTGTTCGCATCCTGAAGCGAACGCAACCCGCGTCTGCACGTCTGTACGTGCACGGGTCGCGATTCGCCGCTTCTGTGCATGCGCGTGACATCAGTTTGAGCGTCTGTGCATGTGCAAGCGGCGAAACCCAGAAGTAATGTGCTCCGTGACTTCCGGGTCGCCGCAGAGTGCAACCTGAAAATATTCATCCCGAAGCATATTTAACCCGAGGTATGACTGTATACTGGGGACGCGGGTGGCGCTGTGGGTAAAAGCCTCAGCGCCTAGGGCTTGCCGATCAAAAGGTCGGCAGCTCGAATCCCCGCGGCGGGGTGCGCTCCCGTCGTTCGGTCCCAGCGCCTGCCAACCTAGCAGTCCGAAAGCACCTTCGGGTGCAAGTAGATAAATAGGGACCGCTTACTAGCGGGAAGGTAAACGGCGTTCCGTGTGCTGCGCTGGCTCGCCAGATGCAGCTTGTCACGCTGGCCACGTGACCCGGAAGTGTCTTCGGACAGCGCTGGCCCCCGGCCTCTTAAGTGAGATGGGCGCACAACCCCAGAGTCTGTCAAGACTGGCCCATACGGGAAGGGGTACCTTTACCTTTACCTTTATGACTGTATACTAAAGTAAAATTCACTTCCAGTGCTCCGCCCACTATTGCCTCAGGCCCCACCCATGACTGACATTTGGCCTCTGGGAGGTTCCTCAAAAGGGAGTGTGGCCCTCAGGCCTGAAGAAGGTTCTCCGCCCCTTCCGTAATACAATGGAGAGTCTTTCAGGTGTCAAGAGACTCCCTTTTTGCTGTGATGTGGTTTTAGCAGACCGCAAGCTCAACTGTGTGATGAAGCAGCTAAAAAGGCTAATGCTATTCTAGGCTGCATCAACAGAAGTCTAGAACCCAGCGGGAAGCAATAGTCCCACTCTGTTCTGCCTTCGTCAGACCCCACCTGGAATCCTGTGTCCAGTTCTGGGCGCCACAATTTAAGAAGGATATTGACAAGCTGGAACATGTGCAGAGGAGGGTGACCAAGATGATCAAGGGTCTGGAAACCAAGCCTGATGAGGAACGGTTGAAGGAGCTGGGTATGTCTAGCCTGGAAAAGAGGAGATATGAGAGCCATCTTCAAATATCTGAAAGGCTGTCACATGGAAGAAGGAACAAGCTTGTTTTCTCCTGCTCCGGAGGGGAGGATCAGAACCCATGGCTTCAAGCCGCAAGAAAGGAAATTTTGACTCAACATCAGGAAGGACTTTCTGGGAGGAAGAGCTGTTAGATGGTGGAATGGGCTCCTTTGGAAGGTCGTGGGCTCTCTTTCCTTGGAGATTTTAAAGAAGAGGTTGGATAGCCATCTGTCATGGATGCTGTAGTTGAGATGCCTGCATTCCAGGGGGTTGGACTGGATGACCCCCTGGGGTCCCTTAAAGGTAAAGGTAAAGGGGCCCCTGACCATTAGGTCCAGTTGTGGACGACTCTGGGGTTGCGGCGCTCATCTCGCTTTATTGGCTGAGGGAGCCGGCGTACAGCTTCCAGGTCATGTGGCCAGCATGACTAAGCCGCTTCTGGCGAACCAGAGCAGCGCATGGAAACGCCGTTTACCTTCCCGCTGGAGCAGTACCTATTTATCTACTTTGACATGCTTTCGAACTGCTAGGTTGGCAGGAGCAGGGACCGAGCAACGGGAGCTCACCCCGTCACGGGGATTCGAACCATCGACCTTCTGATCGGCAAGTCCTAGGCTCTGTGGTTTAACCCACAGCACCACCCACGTCCCTCTGGGGTCCCTTACGACGCTACAATTCTGATTCTATGTATGTGAATGGTATCTGTTTGTGAGCAGGGCGTGTACGTCTATCTACTCTTGACTCTGGCCTCGTCTGCCGTAAAGGAGCACGGAAATAAATAACACACCATACATGCTCAGGGACGCTCTCGTCCTTGACGATTTCATGTTTTCTGTAGAGAGGTCTGGCCAGGAACTCTTCGATTCCATTGTTCTACGACAGACACAACACTCCCTCTGCAAAATAAACCACATTTTGTCCCTCTGGCCGCTGCAGTTCCTGGGACACGAAGTCAGCCAAAGAAATCTCTGCCTTTTCAATGTGCAAATGTGTTAGGACCTGTTCGACTCGTCCGGAGAGGAGGAGGAGGAGAAGGAGGGGAGCGTGATTCATGTCTGGGAGGCTCAGTGAGACACAGATCACCGATCTGGAATGAGGTGTTTTGCAGCCACCACAGAGTCAGGCTCACTTTCGTTCACTTTTTGTTCCCCTGGTGAACCAGGAAAAAACAAGTGTGGTGAGGGATGGTTGAGGGAGTCAGGTGTGGGAAAGAGGAGACTGAGAGAGGAGGTGTGATTGCCATTTTCAGATATCTTTTTTAAAAAAATCAATAATAATAATAATAATAATAATAATAATAATAATAATAATAATAATTTATTTATATCCCACCCTCCCCAGCCGAAGCCAGCCTTAGAGTGGCTAACAACAGTAAAAATAACACAGCATTCTAAAATCAATTCATTCTAAAATCAATTCAGAATCAAATTGATGGCAACCATTGGGCTAGAGTGCTATGAGGATTACAGAAGGAGGGGGTCAGACTGAGTCCAAACCGAAGGCCAGGTGGAACAGCTCTGTCTTACAGGCCCTGCGGAAAGATGTCAAGTCCCGCAGGGCCCTAGTCTCTTGGGACAGAGCGTTCCACCAGATCGGGGCCACTACTGAAAAGGCCCTGGCTCTGGCTGAGGCCAGCCTAACATCTCTGTGGCCTGGGACCTCCAAGATGTTTTTGTCTGAAGACTGTAAGGTCCTCTGTGGGACATACCAGAAGAGGCGGTCCCATAGGTACGAGGGTCCTAGGCTGTATAGGGCTTTAAAGGTCAAAACCAGCACCTTGAACCTGGCCCTGTACTCCACTGGGAGCCACTGCAGCTGGTAAAGCACTGGGTGAATATGCTCCCTTGGCAGAGACCCCGTGAGGAGTCTCGCCGCGGCATTCTGCACCCGCTGGAGTTTCTGAGTCAGTCTCAAGGGCAGCCCCACGCAGAGCAAGTTACAGTAATCCAGTCTGGAGGTGACCGTCGCGTGGATCACAGTGGCCAGATCAGGGCGAGAGAGGTAAGGAGCCAACTGCTTGATATGGCAGAGATGGAAAAATGCCGCCTTTGTTATAGCTGCAATCTGCGCCTCCATGGAAAGGGAGCTGTCAAAGATTACACCCGAACTCTTAACAGACGGTGCTGACACTAATTGCGCCCCTGCAAGAGATAAATTTTTATTGTTTTCTTTACACAGTCGTTTTACAATACATTAAACCACATATGCACTTTTAGTTCTTTGCGACTTCCCTCCTTCCCTTCAGCGGGTATCCTTTATTCTCTTCCGTCACGTATTTTAATTTTTAACCTCATATCTTATACATTGTAGGAGTTACTTCAGTCCTGCCAGTGTTTTTTAAATTCTTACAATTATCCTTCAAATACGCAATAAATTTACTCCAACTTTCCTGGAATCTCTGATCGTCCTGATCCCGAATCCTGCCGGTCAGTTTGGCTAACTCCACATTTTTCATCATTTTCGTCTGCCCCTCCGCAATGGTAGGAACTTCTTGTAATTTCCAGTTTTTGAGCCAGCATATTCCTTGCCGCCATTTTCAGATATCTTAAGAGCTGTCACATGGTCGATGGAGCAACCTGGTTTTCTCCCGAGGGTAGGACTCAAACCCATGGCTTCGAGTTACAAGGAAGGAGATTCTGACTGAAGAATTTTCTGACAGTAAGAGGAACAGTGGAACAGACTCCCATGAGAGGAGTCTTTTTTGGAGGTTTTAAAGAAGAGGATGGATGGCCACCTGTCATGTATGATCTAGTTCTAGATTCCTGTATCGCGACAGGGTTGGACTAGATGACCCACGGGTCCCTTCTGACTCAACGATTCCATGTACAAATGTCTTTGCGGCCGAGTAAGGCTCCCATCTAGCCCACCAGCAGAGAGCCAGGCACCTCTCAGAAAGTTACAAGGAGCGCCTTTCCCCTGTCCCGAACATGTGGTAGACTGCTCCTGAATCTGGAATCTCCATTTAAGACATCTTGTGGCCTGGAGTTCCACAGGTTTCCCTTCCTTCTGGGCAGTTTCGTCGAGGGACTGCATCCTTCACAATAAAATAAAATTTGAAACCTATCTATCAAACGCTAGGATAGCTCAGAGCATGAGAGCATGAGACTCTTAACCTCAAGGTCACAAGTTTGAGCCCCGCGTCAGGCCGAAGATTCCTGCATTGCAGGGGGCTGGATTTAGATGAACCTTGTGGCACCTTCCAGTTCCATGATTCTACGATTCTAAAACCAAGAGGTCAGTGGCAAAGCCTTGCTAGTGGAACGGAGCTTCCATTCTCAGGAGGAGTCTACCTTTCTGAATTGCCTGGCGCTGGGAACAGGCGATTCAATCGAAGGCCAGGTGTTCGACCGGCTGTTGTCTCCCCTGACTGGCCAGCATGGGAAACAGGATTCCTGATTGGCTAGGCCTCTTGGCCCCGATCCAGCAGGGCTGCTTGTCCTTTCAGGTTCACCTTGCGCTTGAGAACGCTGTGCCAGGATCCGCCTCCCATCGCAGAGCTGGTTTTTTGCATAGTTTGTGCAGAGAGTGCCGATCCATCGGCCCGGTTGCTACGGGAGCAAACAGCCTCTCCTCTCCTCCTGGGTGTGGTGCACGGCTGCAAAACCAGCCCTGCGGTGAATATTTAGCATGAGAAACCTTTGGGGATTACCTGGAGTAGACTTTCTCTCTTCCCAGTTCTTAACCTCCTGAGCTACTCAGTTGGGCAACCGGTAGTTCCTGGAGGCCAAATTCATTTGGAAGGTAATTCCCGACGGCTTGGGCTTCATTCTAATGCATCGCCAACTATTATTGATGTTAATTATCACTGTTGTCGTTTTAAATAACATTTCTGATGTTGCACGGCGGCTGTGTTTGCAGAGAATGAGGAGGCTGGTCTCTGCCCTGAGGAGCTTACAATGAGCGGTATGATGCAGGAAGGGGAGGGAAACCAAGGCAGGGGTCGTTGACGGGGGGAGAAGGTGCAACTGCTTTTGCACCCGAGAGCAGGTCTTCTTGGCGCTGGAGCCCGAAATTCGATGACAGAGGGAGGAAAGAGGGTGAACCTGGGGAGGTCAGGGCCGGATTTAGGTTTGATGAGTCCCTAAGCTACTGAAGGTAACGGGGCCCTTTATATGTCCAGCTGTCCTTTGTCAGCAACAAATTGTCACTGTTTTTTGTGTTGAATATATGCTATATAGTACAGTGGTACCTCGCAAGACGAAATTAATTCGTTCCGCGAGTTTTGTCGTCTTGCGATTTTTTTTGTCTTGCGAAGCACGGTGTCGGGAAAGTTTTGGAAAAGCTTCAAAAATCACCAAAGTCTTTAAAAACCTCAAAAAAGGCTACCACACCGCGTTCTATGAGTTGCTCCTCGAAGTCAAGTCGCAACTGTATTAACGGTGTTAAGAAAAAGGAAACAAACTTGCAAGACGTTTCCTTCTTGCGAAGCAAGCCCATAGGGAAAATCGTCTTGCGAAGCAGCTCAAAAAACAAAAAACCCTTTCGTCTAGCGAGTTTTTTGTCTTGCGAGGCATTCGTCTTGCGAGGTACCACTGTAATTTATGGAGCTAATAGGTATCTAAATCCATTTGCACATGTTGCCCTGCAACCAGTCCATGCAGAATGCAGGCACCCTATATATAGAAAGGAGCAAACCAGTGATATTTTAGGGAGCAGGCTAGCAGGCGGGACCCATGACTTACATCCTAGGAACCTACACAACACAAAACACTGTTTTTTTATCTTATATTTTGGAAATGTACATCCAGTTCCCACCCCTTTAAATTGTTTGGGGGCCCCAAGAGAGTAGGGCCCTAAGCTATAGCTTGTTTAGCTTATACGTAAATCCGGCACTGCTTGCAGATGAATAGGCAGCGATTTCAGTGGTGTGTGGGTTGGGACGGGATAATTCTTTCAAATCAGAACCAGTGAAGGTGGTGAAGGTCCTATGTGAGTGCCTTGAGGTGGTTGGAGGATGGATGGCGGCTAACAGATTGAGGTTGAATCCTGACGAGACAGAAGTACTGTTTTTGGGGGACAGAGGGCAGGCTGGTGTGGAGGACTCCCTGGTCCTGAATGGAGTAACTGTGCCCCTGAAGGACCAGGTGCGCAGCCTGGGAGTCATTTTGGACTCAAAGCTGTCCATGGAGGCGCAGGTCAATTCTGTGTCCAGGGCGGCTGTTTATCAGCTCCATCTGGTACGCAGGATGAGACCCTCCCTGCCTGCGAACTGTCTCGCCAGAGTGGTGCATGCTCTAGTTATCTCCCGCTTGGACTACTGCAATGCGCTCTACGTGGGGCCACTGTTGAAGGTGACCCGGAAACTACAACTAATCCAGAATGCGGTAGCTAGACTGGTGACTGGGAGCGGCCGCCGAGACCACATAACATTGGTCCTGAAAGACCCACATTGGCTCCCAGTACTTTTCCAAGCACAATTCCAAGTGTTGGTGCTGACCTTGAAAGCCCTAAACGGCCTCGGTCCAGTATACCTGAAGGAGCATCTCCACCCCCATCGTTCTGCCCGGACGCTGAGGTCCAGCTCCGAAGGCCTTCTGACGGTTTCCTCGCTGTGAGAAGCCAAGTTACAGGGAACCAGGCAGAGGGCCTTCTCGGTGGTGGCACCCGCCCTGTGGAACGCCTTCCCAACAGATGTCAAAGAGATAAACAACTACCAGACTTTTAGAAGACATCTGAAGGCAGCCCTGTTCAGGGAAGCTTTTAATGTTTAACAGACCACTGTATTTTAATACTTTGTTGGAAGCTGCCCAGAGTGGCTGGGGAAACCAAGCTCAGATGTCCATGGACAGAGGGGTTATGGGTGCAAAAGGTCAAAGCCGTCACCACTCAATTTTGACCAACCTTCTTTGGAACTCAGCACCAAGACGAACTTCTGCGGAGACAGCTGCAGGACTAGGCTGTCAACCAATCTCTCTCTCTCTGTTGCAGGTTTAAGAAGGAAGCCGCAGAACCTCTTTCTCCCGAACGGGGAGACAGCACCAATGAGGCCGTGAACATCAAGGACATGGAACTGAAGGAGGAATGGCAGGACGATGAATTCCCTCGGTAAGCCGAGTGCCGGGGAAACGCGGGTGACGGCAGGTGTCCCAGGGAAGAGATGGAGGAACGGAGCCTCCATGCCCAAGAGCAGTCTATCTTAGAACGTTGGGCCTTGGCTGGCTGGAGGCCGAGTGATAGGGGTGGGCCTTTCAGCTCAGCTCACAGGCTGTCCAGTTGGCCGCAGTAGGAAAAAGGGGTGCTGGGAAAAAGGGGCGTCCGTCTCAACCTGGCAGGCACCTCCCCGAGGCATCCATGGGACTCCTCGCTGGGAGGAAACACACCACACCTACGCCCAGGCAGTTCTTGGGTTCTTAGGTGCTGTAGCTCAGGCCTGGCAGGGCAGGGCCAATGTGGCCCTCCAGTCCTTTATCCGGCCCTTGAGACACTCCCCGAGAAACGCACCCCACCTCCTTTGCAGGGATGTCTCCTTGACCTCTGGTCACACCTCTTTTCTGCCTAGTACGTTTCCGAGCACAAGTGTTGGTGCTGACCTTGAAAGCCCTAAACGGCCTTGGTTCAGTATACCTGATGGAGCGTCTCCACCCCCATTGTTCAGCCCGGACACTGAGGTCCAGCGCCGAGGGCCTTCTGGCAGTTCCCTCTCTGTGAGAAGTGAAGTTACAGCAAGCCAGGAAGAGGGCCTTCTCGGTGGTGGCACCCGCCCTGTGGAACGCCCTTCCACCAGATGTCAAAGAGAAAAATAACTACCAAACTTTCAGAAGACATCTGAAGGCAGCCCTGTTTAGGAAAGCTTTTAATGTTTAATAGGTTATTGTATTTTAGTGTTCTGTTGGAAGCTGCCCAGAGTGGCTGGGGAAACCCAGCCAGATGGGCGGGGAATAAATAATAAATTATTGTTGTTGTTATTATTATTATTATTATTATTATTTAGTTGAAAGATGGGGGGGAGGATGTGGATAGAAACTAGCCGGCTGTACCACTCTTCCCTCTGGTCCTGTGGTCCTCAGAAGTCTCTCCAGAAAAGGATGTGATCCGTGGGATGGAAAATGTCCCCGGCTCCTGCTATAGCTGCTAGGCAACGCTGCCTCTGCCTCCCCCACCTTCCTCTCGTTCCTCAGAGGCCCCTTCTCTTTTCTGCCTCGCAGGCCTCTTCCAGAGGAGATCTCTGAGGAGGACCTGGAAGAATCCAGTTCGGAAATGAGCCCAGGTAAGAGACCCAACAGGTGGCTGCTTGGGTTTGCTGGGGCAGCAGGGTGTGTGTGTCTTCCTTCTGGCATACAGAGGCCCCTATCCAGGCCCCTCCCCTCATTGGCAGTGCCTCCGTTTGACCTGTCCATGGGCCTAAATCACAGAATCATAAGAGTTGGAAGGGCCCTCCAAGGCCCATCTAGTCCACCCTCCTGTTTCAGTATTGAATCATTGAATCAGTGTCTTTCTGCATGCCAAGCAGGCGTCCGGCCTCTGACCTCTGATTCCCCCCCTCCTCCTTCTCCCCTGCCCCACACCAGTCGCCCCCAACACCCTAGAGCTCTGCGGTCGACGGCTCATGAAGAAAAGACTCCCAGCCCCGGATCTCAGCTCGGTGAAATCTGGAGAGGGGCTGGAAGCCACGCCAGAAGGCAGTTTGGACATCAACGTGGACGAGCTGGAGACCCCGTCCGACAGCGAGCTCCAAGAGGGCTCTGAGAACGGGCACGAGTTCGAATGGGAAGGTGAGGGGCCTGGGTTCGAGGTTCTCCCAAGGCGGAAGACACGCCAGGGAGGTGGGCCCTGCGTGGGAACGGAAAGAGATTTGTTTGTGGGATCCACTGCGCCCCGAGGAATCTAGGAGGGTGGTGGTGGAGAAAATAGACTCATAGAATCCTAGAACAGTAAGTTGGACGGGATCCCAGCGGTCATCTAGCCCAACCCGCTTCGAAGTTTGGGAAACGGTGTCCCAAGAAGCTGGCTAGCTTCTGCTTTTCCAGATCCTTTGCCTGACATTGACCCAAATTTGGTCCTCTCACCCCACCCCGGCTGCGCACAGATGATCTCCCCAGAGCCCGGAGGGTGGAGGGCAACTTGCCCGAGAAGTTTTGCAACGGCCGCGTGGTGGACATCAAGGGCCAAGACGGGCGCAAGTGGCGGATTTTCCTGACGGACGAGCGGGAGCAGAAAGTGGACCTGGGTGCCGTCGAGCCCTATAAGAAAGTCATCTCTCACGGAGGTAAGGAATAATGCCAGTGTCAGGAGTGCGTGCAGGAGCCAGGCCCTGTGACCAGTAGGGCTTCGCAGGACTGGGGCCTTCCTAAGTTTCTTCTGGAGAGGCAAGGCGTGGCCGCACAGGTGAGGCCGATTGGTAACTCACAGCACCTGGTGGCAAGAGCTGGGAAGGGATATAAGGTCAGCATTTCCCTTCAGATCTTTGCCACAGCAACACGCTTCCTGCCTTCGGCTTCTTGCTTCCTGACCCTCGGACCCCTGACTTTGTGACTCCTTGCTTCTTGACCCTCGGACCCTTGACTTCGTGACTCCTTGCTTCCTGACCCTCGGACCCCTGACTTCGTGGCTCCTTGCTTCCTGACCCTCGGACCCCTGACTTCGTGACTCCTTGCTTCCTGACCCTCGGACCCCTGACTTCGTGACTCCTTGCTTCCTGACCCTCGGACCCCTGACTTCTTGACTCCTTGCTTCCTGACCCTCGGACCCCTGACTTCGTGACTCCTTGCTTCTTGATGCTCGGACCCCTGACTTCTTGACTCCTTACTTCCTGACCCTCGGACCCTTGGCTTCTTCACTCCCGGCTCTCTGACCCTCAGACTCTTGGCTTCCTGACTCCTGGACCCCTGTTCCTGCTCCCACCCCGCCATCTTGCCCCGGTCCTCACGTCCCCAGCCGGGACTTTGATTGCCCATGAACCGGACCATGACAGCCAGCTGCTGAGGACCCAAGTGAGGAGGGCTGGAGTTGTGGGGCTTGCGTCCTCCTTGCAGGCTTTCCTTGGGGGCATGGGGTGGGCCACTGTGGGAGCAGGATGCTGGAGTAGAGGAGCCACTGACCTGATCCAGCTACAGGGCTCTTCATAAGTTCTTGTGGAGCCTCCAGGTTCAGAGGCAGTCTATCTAGATATGTTTGTCCCCAGTGGCATTTGGACCAAATGGGCCCCTTTGGCTCTTGTTCTACCCCATCTGGGGCTTTTCAGCTCGGGAAGAAAGGCAACCTGGGTTTGGGGTGTGTGTATGTCAGGGAGCCAGCCAGCAATAAATCACATGGATTAAGTAATAATACTTTAATAATAATAATAATAATAATAATTTATTATTTATACCCTGCCCATCTGGCTGAGTTTCCCCAGCCACTCTGGGCGGCTTCCAATCGAATGTTAAAAACAATACAGCATTAAATATTAAAAACTTCCCTAAACAGGGCTGCCTTTAGATGTCTTTTAAAGATAAGATAGCTGCTTATTTCCTTCACATCTGCTGGGAGGGCGTTCCACAGGGCGGGGGCCACTGCCGAGAAGGCCCTCTGCCTGGTTCCCTGCAACCTCACTTCTCGCAGGGAGGGAACCGCCAGAAGGCCCTCGGAGCTGGACCTCAGTTCTAGGTGGTTGGGGGCAAAACCCAGTTTCTTGACTAGGGTCACTGAGTCCCCTGTTGCCTCCGCAGCTTCTGACTCCGCCTCTTCCCAGTCTTCTCCCTCCTCTGACCACTCATCCCACCGCAATTCCCCGGGCTCTGAGCCTCCTTTCCTTGGGGGTTCCCTAGATGCCGTGGGATCACATTCATCCAGTGCTTTACCAACTGCACTGCCTTTCAGTGGAGTACAGGGTTTAAGGTGCTGTTTTTGACCTTTAAAGCCCTATGCGGCCTAGGACCCATGTTGTGCTGGTCCTGTGGGCTACTCGAGAGGCGAGGTCCAAGTCTGGTCCGTGGTCAAAGGTTCAACGAGGAGGCAGTCCATAGTAGCTGAAGCTGGGTGCAGGGCAGGGAGTTGGGTGAAGTTAGGAGCTCAGGAACTAGCAACCAACAATGTTGCTTCCGCAACTTGGAACTGGGGCTGGCCGGCTTTTTTCTGCCCTGAGGCATAGGGCGGCCCCGGTCCACAGGTGACCCGCCTCTCCTGGCCTGGAGGCGAGCACTCCTCCTGCGGGAACTTAGCCGCTGCAGCTCAGGAGAGGCTGGAGGGTTACTGGACCCAGAGTCAACCTCCTCTTCCCCTGATGGGGCTGAGAGTGGAGCACCTGCAGGCAATGGGTCCTCCATCACCTCAGGAGCCAGAGCAGACTCAGCTGGTGCCTGCACCTGAGGATCCAGCACAGGTGAGGACCCTTCAGGCTCAGGCCCCAGCCCCGGCTCAGCTGGTTCTGGAGGCGGGGAATCCTGTGCAGGCTGGGATCCCTCAGGTTCAGCATCCGAATCCGAATCCAAGGCCATCACACATGTACCTACAGGACCGCCTCTCCTGGTCTGCCCTGCGGAGGACCTTAAGGTCCACAAATGACAACACTTTGGAGGTCCCAAGTAGCAAGGTGGTTAGGTTGTTCTCAACTAGGGTCAGGGCCTTTTCAGTCCTGGCCCCGACTTGGTGGAACGCTCTGTCCCAAGAGACCAGGGCCCTGCGGGACTTGACATCTTTCCGCAGGGCCTGCAAGACAGAGCTGTTCCGCCTGGCCTTTGGTTTGGACGCAGTCTGACCCTTATGTTTCCCTCCCCTTATGGTCTTGATCTATGGGCTACTATTAAAATGAGGCTGCATTTTAAATTGCATTTTTAACTTGTATTTTTTTTTAAATTCCTCCCCTATTTTGTTTTTATTGTAATCTTACTGGTGTTAGCCGCCCTGAGCCTGGCTCTGCCCAGGGAGGGCGGGGTATAAATAATTTTTAAAAATTATTATTATTCCTCCCACCGCTCCTCTGCATCCATACAGAGGGCCTTCTCGGTGGTGGCACCCGCCCTGTGGAACGCCCTCCCACCAGATGTCAAAGAGATAAACAACTACCTGACGTTTAGAAAACATCTGAAGGCAGCCCTGTTCAGGGAAGTTTTTAATGTGTCACATTTTGATGTATTTTTAATCTTTGTTGGAAGCTGCCCAGAGTGGCTGGGGAGACCCAGACAGATGGACGGGGTACAAATAATAAATTATGATGATGATAATGATGATGATTAGTGTTAAGTAGTGGGTAGACACAGCGCTTCTTCAAAGCAGCTCTTTATTTGTAAGCTGGAACAGAACTGAACAGAAGAGTTCAGCCAGCCTGCTTATATAGAGCTCCAGTACAATGCAACTGTAACAACTTTCTGTAACTATCCAATCACTGAACATCACTTTCGATCCCTTATTTGCATATGTGGACCTGAACTATCTACAGTATCCCCCTGCTGGCCCAGGGTGAGAACTTCAGTACATAACAATTATGATGATTATGATTATTATCCAACCTGTCCGTCACCGTGTGGCAGACACAAATCAAAGTGTGACGGGTGACCCCTTCCTCCAAAGGATTCCCAGCTGACCTCTCCCCTTATTCCCTTCCAGGCTACTTTGGAGAAGGCCTGAACGCCATCATCATGTTTGCCTCGTGCTACTTACCCGACAGCTCCATCCCAGATTATCCGTACGTCATGGAGAATCTCTTCAGGTGAGAGGCGCCTGGTCCCTCGAAACTGGGCGGGAAAGAGGGATTCCACCGGCGCCGTCGACTGCTGGGGGTGCTACGATTCTCCGTTAAATGCATTTCTTTTACATTTTTATTTATACTTTCCAGATTTATACATTTCCTTAATTTTACAATCATTTCAACATTTCACTGCTCGACTTCCTTTCCCCCTCTTTCTGCCGTTCCTTAAATTTATTTTTTAATCTCTTCTGCATATCCAAATTCATTCAGTTTGCTCGTTTATTTATATACTCTTATGAAACTGCAGGTTATTACAAAAATCCTGCCAGTGTTTTGCTCTGTTTGCAATTTATCTGTAAACGTTCAATAGACCATTTCCATTCTTTTATATATATAAAGTTTGTTATCTTGATTTCTTATTCTTCCGGTAAGTTTTGCCATTTCTGCATATTCCATAAGTTTTTGTACTCATTCTTCCTTTACTGGGACTTCTGCTTCTTTCCACTTTGGGGCAAGTAACATTCTTGCTGCTGTAGTAGCATACAGGAATAAATTTCTATGCAATTTGGGTAGTTCTGTCCCTATAATTCCCAAAAGAAAAGCTCCTGGGTTGGCGGTTGTTTTTTTTTTTTTTACAAACATTATTTGAAACACCCTTTTCAATTCATTATAATATACTGTATATCATTTCCCGGTAACCTTACTACAAGACCACCACATATGATAAAAGGAACCTTCTTTCTCTTTACATTTCCAACAGTTGTTTGATCTAGATTTAGACATTTTTGCCAATTTACTTGCTGTTAGGAACCATCAATATATCATTTTCATATACAGTAATTTTCTCTTAAACCATAAAAGGCAAAGGTAAAGGACTCCTGACAGTTATCGTATTTTTTGCTCCATAAGATGCACCTGACTATAAGACGCACCTAGTTTTTAGATGAGGAAAGGGGGGAAACCCCTTTTTTTGAGGATCAGCTCAAAGTTGTTGAGCTTACTTTGCAAACGGAAAAAATCTAGTTTTTATTGGGTTCAAATCACAGTTCTGAAATCACAAACGACTCTGGGGTTGCGGTGCTCATCTCGCTTTACTGGCTGAGGGCGCTGTAAATTTTATATGCATATTCCACAATCACTCCCATGCTTCCATGTCTATATTATGACCGATTATCCATTATCCAATGTATCTACTGCGTTTTTTAAACCGGCTCTGACGTCCCTGTCCTGCCTCAAACCCCAGGTACATCATCGGGACTCTGGAGCTGATGGTCGCCGAAAATTACATCCTGGTGTGTCTGAGTGGAGCAACCCCCCGCAGCCAGGTGCCCTCCTTTAGCTGGATCAAGCAGTGTTACCAAACCATCGACAGACGGTGAGCAGCATTGGCTCTGAGCCTGTGTCCCCCCCTTTTTTCTTAAAGATTTTCTTGATTTACAAAAGTGTTTGCAATGTCTCTCTCTCTCGAATTTCCTCCCCCCCCCATCTAACATTTTTACAAATCAGTTTCATTTGTTGAGACATTAGGAAGAAAAGGGGGAAAGAGGGGGGGGAGATGGGGTGGGGGGACACATAGATGTCAACCTTTCCTTTTTTTGTGGGAAATTCCCTAATTCCAGCACCATTTCCCGCTGCTATCCCAGATTGTTAGATATCCCGTAGACTGTCCCCGGGACAGGTGAGGCTGCTGATCCCTTATTTTCAAATCTGAAAGTTGACAGCTATGGGATGGGGTCGGGTGGCGATGTTTCTATTTTGCTTAATGTATGTAGGGTTTGGTGTCAGCGTTGCTTGTGCAGGTTCTCTGCTATTCACTTGTGTTCCTTTGGTGGTGAGAGAGGTTGGGGTTGGCCTAGGGTGTGGTTGTTCATTTGTGGTTGGCTGTGGTGGTCTTTGTTTTCGTGTGTGAGTGGGGTGGGTGGGTGTTTTGGATCAGGTAAGCCATATTGATTTGTATGCCGTTGGTGGATTCTTGTCATTGTCTTGTTGGGCTGTGTATGTGATAAAGGGGAGCCATATTGGGGTGAAGGTATCGTCTTCTATTTGTCCCCGTGTCAGTTTCAGTTTATTGGTTAATTTTTCTAGTAGGGCTGTTTCCCATACTATTTGGTCCACGCTTACTCCTGATAGAGCCTGTGTGTTTTTAAAAGGATCTGTGTCCTAGACAACTCCCAATATTATTAAGAGAATTAAAAAATCAGCCTGGCTGGGTTGATCAACAAGTCCTCTTGCCCCAGACAGAGCAGGCTTGAGCTCTGTAGCTCCAAGGATCAGGACTAGGAATAATAATAATAGGGACATGGGTGGCGCTGTGGTCTAAACCACAGAGCCTAGGACTTGCCGATCGGAAGGTCGGCGGTTCGAATCCCTGCGACGGGGTGAGCTCCCGTTGCTCGGTCCTTGCTCCTGCCAACCTAGCAGTTCGAAAGCACACCAGTGCAAGTAGATAAATAGGTACCGCTCTGGCGGAAAGGTAAACGGCGTTTCTGTGCACTCTGGCACTTGTCACGGTTCTCCATTCGCCCATAGCGATTTAGTCCTGCTGGCCACATGACCTGGAAAACTGTCTGTGGACAAACGCTGGCTCCCTTGGCCTGAAAGCGAGATGAGCACCGCAATCCCATAGTTGCCTTTGACTGGACTTAACAGTCCAGGGGTCCATTACCTTTACCTGTTAATGATAATATGGGCGGCTTCCAACCGAATATTAAAAACAATCCAGCGTCAGACATTAAAAACTTCCCTGAACAGGGCTGCCTTCAGATGTCTTCTAAAAGTCACATAGTTGTTTATCTCTTTGACATCTGATGGGAGGGTGTTGCACAGGGCAGGCACCACCACCGAGAAGGCCCTCTGCCTGGTTCCCTGTAACCTCACTTCTTGTAGGGAGGGAACCGCCAGAAGGCCCTCGGAGCTGAATCTCAGTGTCCGGGCTGAACGATGGGGGTGGAGACGCTCCTTCAGGTATACTGGGCCAAGGCTGTTTAGGGCTTTAAAGGTCAGCACCAACACTTTGAATTGTGCTCGGAAACGTCCTGGGAGCCTATTATTATTATTATTATTATTATTATTATTATTATTAATGCAACACCCTTCCTCTCCAAGGAGCTCAGGGCAGCAAACAGATACAAAGTCTAAAAGCAAAGTGAAAACACTGCTCTAGGTGCCATGTGAATCCCATCCCACTTTGGGAATCTTCCACTTTGGAACTCCCCGCCTATTGACGCCAAGCAGGTGCCTTCACTGTACTCTTGGCGCTTGCTAAAAACATTTTTGTTTAGGCAAAGCCTGTCTGGACATGTAGAATGTGGGTGGGTGTTTCAACCTGTTTTAGTTCATTGCTGATCTTCTGAACTTTTAAAAGAATTGTTTTTATTTTATTTATTTTGTTCTATTTGTAGGGAGGTGTTTTATAAGCAGTGTATAAATTTTATGGGGGGAAATGAATACATTTTAAAACTACATTCTAGAAAGAAAAAGACTGCAACTAAAGCAGTTCTGGCTGACATTGCAGGGGGTTATATATATATATATATATGTGTTAATCGCCAATGGATACCAGCAAAACAGGGTTACGAAGCTAATCCAAAAAGAAACACCCCCCAAAACCAAGACACAGAAGAAAACAATGGCATGGCCCTCCTTCCTTATATCAAGGGCACTACAGATAAAATTAGCAAAATCCTCCATAAACACAATATCAAAACAGCCTTTTGCACCAACCAAAAAATAGCCAATATCCTCAGAAACCCCAAGGATAAAATCCAGTTGGAAAACCAAGGGGTCTATGAAATACCCTGCAAAGTCTGCCCAGCCACGTACATTGGACAAACAAACAGACGAATAAATGCACGTATCGCAGAACACAAGAATGCCGTCAAAAAAGAAGAAAAAACTTCCTCTCTTTTCCAACACATGAAAGAAACAGGACACGAAATTAATTTTGCAGATTCCAAATTGCTCTTTAACATGGAACATCACCACAAGAGAATAATCATGGAAGCCATCGAGATAGAGAAACACCCTCACAACATGAACAAGCGTGACGACACATCCCGCCTGCCAGACATCTGGAAATTAGCCCTCCCCACAAAAACCGACACCAGATCCAGAGGCACACAGAACGCCATCACCAATCAACCACACCAGACCCAAACCCAGACCCTCTCCACAGATAAATTACAGACACCATCCAGTAGCCAAACCATGGTGGCACCTCCGGATGCTGCACCCCCCTGCAATCCCTACACAGATCTGGCTGGCACAGGCCACAAAACCACAGCTCGCCCCTATACACGAAGCCAAGCCAGAGCACAACTAAGTGCAGTACAGCCATCTTCTCAGAAAAACTCTTCACAAAGTTCAAGAGGTCAAGACACGAAGGCTTTAGCAACTAATCCACACCTAATGACCCACCTAAGTGGTACTCAGGATATCACTCAAGAAATCACTCAAGATATCCCTCAAGTAATTAAGGAACAAAAGAAGAAAAGGCACACTAGCCTGGGAACTTCCTCTCTGCCCAGAACATTGGAGGCTATACACCACACCTCCTCAACAGTATTTATAGGAACTCAAACACTGAGATCCTGCTCTGTTCCAGTAACAAGAAGCCGAAAGCACCAGCCTGAAGATGACGAGTGAGACCTCGTCGAAACGTCGCCTAGACACCCCAACTTTTACACGGGAAGACACCCGAGGACACCAAAACCTGCATTCCTGTACCCGTGAAAATCTACGAAAGCATATATATATATATATATATATATATATATATATATATTTGGTTTTTCAGATTAAGATTTTACTGTTATATTTCCAACATACAACATAGAAACAGGATTCCCAAGAGTATCCTGAACTTCTTTCCTCCCTTTTGTGGGTCCTTTGGTTAATCATTTCCTCCTGCACCTTTTATAATAATCCAGATCTTTTACCGCTCCCTTGTGTCCAAAAATTCACCATTAAACTACAAGTGTTATTCCAATCCTGTTGTTGTTGTTGTTTAGTCGTTTAGTCGTGTCCGACTCTTCGTGACCCCATGGACCAGAGCACGCCAGGCACCTCTGTCCTCCACTACCTCCCGCAGTTTGGTCAAACTCATGCTGGTAACCTCGAAAACACTATCCAACCATCTCGTCCTCCGTCGTCCCCTTCTCCTTGTGCCATCCATCTTTCCCAGCATCAGTGTCTTCTCCAGGGAGTCTTCTCTTCTCATGAGGTGGCCAAAGTACTGGAGCCTCAGCTTCACGATCTGTCCTTCCAGTGAGCACTCAGGGCTGATTTCCTTCAGAATGGATAGGTTTGATCTTCTTGCAGTCTGTGGGACTCTCCAGAGTCTCCTCCAGCACCATAATTCAAAAGCATCAATTCTTCGGCGATCAGCCTTCTTTATGGTCCAGCTCTCACTTCCATACATCACTACTGGGAAAACCATGGCTTTAACTATACGGACCTTTGTTGGCAAGGTGACGTCTCTACTTCTCAAGATGCTGTCTAGGCCTGTCATTGCCCTTCTCCCAAGAAGCAGGCGTCTTTTAATTTCATGGCTGCTGTCACCATCTGCAGTGATCATGGAGCCCAAGAAAGTAAAATCTCTCACTGCCTCCATTTCTTCCCCTTCTATTTGCCAGGAGGTGATGGGACCAGTGGCCATGATCTTCGTTTCCAATCCTACTAACGAATTTAACTGTTTACAATGGTTTTTAAGATAAATTATAAATTTCCCCCATTCCTTATTAAAAGTTTGGTCTTCCCGATTTCTGATTCTCCCTGCCATATTTGCAGTTTCGGCACAATCCATCAACTCGATTTGCCTTTCTTCTCTGCTAGAGACTTTATCTTCTTTCAATCTCTCAGCCAATAACATCCTCGCAGCTGTGGTCACATACATAAATCGTCTTTTCTGTTCCCTTGGTATTTCGGCACCTAGAATTCCTAAAAGGAAGGCTTCAGGCTTTTAAAGAAAAAGTTGTTCTAAATATTTTTTAAACTCATTATACAGTGGACGCTCGGGTTGCGAACGTGATCCGTGTGGGAGGCACGTTCGCAACCCGCAGCGCTGTCTCTGCGCGCACGCACACGGGTTGCGATTTGGTGTTTCTGTGCATGCACAAAGCGCAATTTAGTGTTTCTGCGCATGTGCGAGTTCTGAAACTCGGAAGTAACCCGTTCCGGTACTTCCGGGTTTCGGTGCCTCCGTAACCCGAAAACGTGGAACCTGAAGCGTCTGTAACCCGAGGTATGACAGTATATATAAAATGAGTTTTATGATTCTAAGTTTCTCCAGCCCCGCCCTGCGTGAAAACATTCCCAAGTTCTCAGCACCTCTTTCTTCAGATTTGGATGTGAATTTACGCTCCAGAGCTCTGAGCAATAGTCTTACAGCGATCCGGTCTTCCTAGATGCTTTCTCCTCGCTGAAGGTCACGGCTGGGCAGGATTGATCCTGAACTTTCGGCTGAAGCAAAATTGTCGCCCAGATCTCCATGACGTCTTCTTGCAAAACCTGCTTTTCAAGTCCACTTTCCCCACCTGCCGACTTTACTACAAGTCCAAACAATAAATAGTTCAGATAACTATCTGGGACTTTCCCCAAACGCCAGCTGGGCTTTCCTGGCACAAAATTTATTGCCTCCTTTCGCTGCGCTGGATCTGCTGTTCTACGGGAATCTTTTCCAGGTTGGGGGCCAAATTGCCCTCTATCCCGCCTTCCGAGGGCTTACTTCCAGGTTACTTCCAGGTTACTTACTTCCAGGTTACTTCGGCAGTCACGCATGTGCAGAAGCGCTAAATCGCACTCTGTGTATGCGCAGAAGCGCCGAATCGCAACCCGCACGTGCGCAGACGTGCTGCTGCGGGTTGCGGACGCTGCGGGTTGCGAATATGCATCCCACACGGATCACGTTCGCAACCCAAGCATCCACTGTACTTATTGTTGTTATTTAGTCATTTAGTCGTGTCCGCCTCTTTGTGACCCCCTGGACCAGAGCACGCCAGGCACTCCTGTCTTCCACTGCCTCCCGCAGTTTGGTCAAACTCATGCTGGTAACATTGAAAACACTATCCAACCATCTCATCCTCTGTTGTCCCCTTCTCCTTGTGCCCTCCATCTTTCCCAACACCAGGGTCTTTTCCAGGGAGTCTTCTCTTCTCATGAGGTGGCCAAAGTACTGGAGCCTCAGCTTCAGGATCTGTCCTTCCAGTGAGCCCTCAGGGCTGGTTTCCTTCAGAATGGAGAGGTTTGATCTTCTTGCAGTCCATGGGACACTGTACTTATAGGCCGGTGCAAATAATGGAAACACATTTCTCTTTCCTGCTGCAGAAATTCTTAAACAGATGTGGTCACTTTTAAGTTTCATTCAGGTCCATTTTTTCCTTCTTTCTTATTTGTGTACCACAGCTTTGAAATACATTGTGCTGGTGTTTTGTTGTTTATTTTGAAAGGGCTTCTAGGACTGTGTAAGAAAATAATGGATTATTTCCGAAACACCAATATGATGTTTTAGAAAAGCAAAAACAGACCATTTTTTTCGGAAAATGAAATCTTTTCATTTCTTTCCTTCATGGAATCATAGAGTTGGAAGGGACCTTGAGGGTCATCTAGCTCAACCCCATGCAAGCAGAAATATGCAGCTGTCCCATACAGGGATCAATCCTGCAACCTTGGTGTTATCAGCACCACGATCTAACCAACTGAGCACTCTTTCTTTCTTTTAAAAACAACAACAACAACATATGTTTTCACACAAGAGGCTAGCCAAAAGGAAATTAAGTTCATTTGCCAATTTGCAGATAATCTAGTAGCAGGGAGTTCCACCAGATTAACAGTGCCTTAAATTCCTTTGGATTTTTTTTGCGACAGGCTCCGGAAGAACCTGAAGACGTTGATTATCGTCCATCCCACTTGGTACATCAAAGCGTTGATGGCGGTGTTCAGACCTTTCATCAGGTAGGTCGGCCAGTTATTATCATTTTATTATTTATTGCATTCAAGTCTACTAAATCTCACCACTGCACCACCCCATTCTGGCATCCGACAGTCGGGGAAAAGGGAACAGGTTACATCTAATTCTCCTAGTGTATCTTTATCAATTTCACCAAATAATCTGTTTGCTGGTTCCCATATGGTAATGCCAGACTGCGGGTTGTTGGAAATTGTCCTTTTGTGGAGGGTGTGTGTTTGTGAAATGGAACCCATGAACTAACATCCCCCCCAATTTATTTATTTATTTTTATTAATTTATTAAATTTATATCCCACTCTTCATCTGAGGATCACAAAGCAGTTTACAGAATAATAATAAAAAATTTTAAAAAACAAAAAACCATATGTGGTGATATTGGGAAATCTTTTTTAAAAAATTTTTATTAGATTTTCCACAATAATAACAAAAACCACAAAGCAGACTGACACACAAAAACAGAAAAAAGGAAAAATACACCAAATAAAACAATTTCCAATTATAATCCATCTTATTCACATTTCTTAATATTCTAAATCCCATTTATTTAATTATAACTTAGTTTAATCCTTGGCCTATTTGTTTCTTTCAAGTAATTTTTATTTTTTTATCACAATATTTATTCAAATAGTCCTTAAATTTCCTCCAGTACTGATATGTTAAAACTTTGGTTCACGCAGGAGAAAAGCATTGTGGGAGAGTTAAAACTGCAGAATTATGGGAATGTGTACTTGGTCTCTTTAATTGCAGACTCTCTGTCTTTAGAAGTGTGAATCAGACTGCCTCCTCTCTGAGCAGGAAAGAAGATGTTAACTGATTTGTAAATTATAGCCGATAACAACAGATATAACAAACTCTCCCCCTCCTCACAAAAATAAATCGCCCTTTCAAAAGTCCACAGAAGACTTTTGAAAGTGGTTTGTGGAGCTGAAGGAATATGATATTGTCACGGTGGGTTTCACCCAAAGAGGGAGATGGATTCTTATGTAGGAATTTCCCTCGGTGATGGGTCTGCGGACCGCAGCCAACAAAGTAGGCCCATTAAAATCAATGAACCTAAATTAGTGAGGCTTACGGACTGATTTCCTGGAATTTATGTATTGCTTGATTGTAAAAAATAAAAATTGAATAGATATTTGGCTGCTGCTGCTGCTGCTGCTGCTGCTTCACTCTGCCTCTTGACCAGGCCGGTCTTGCTAATTCCTCTCACATATCCATCTGCCATGGGCTGGTTGGGTGAAGAGGAATGGTGGGGGGAACGAGGTGGGAAACCCCCCAAGGGAAGATGACTCAGAGCACGGGGATTGGTGGTGGGACGGCGATGAGAGATCAGAGGGAGAAGATGGGGAAGGGGAGGCATTGGAAGCTGAAGAGACAACAGGGCTTAGTGAGCGGGGAGAATCTGTGCCAGAGAGCAGTCCAGAATCAGAGGCAGGAGCGGAGGGAGGCCAAGAGGCAGAGGTGAGTCTGGCTGGTGAAGAGTCACGGGTGTCTCTCTCTCCGGCTGCGACAAACTCCCTTCTCTCCTGGTCTCCCAGGACTAGGAGAGGCATGAAGAGAGAGGAGCAAAGGCAGACATGCCGGCGTAGTCTCAGATTGCTTTGGGAAAATTCAGGAGAGGAGGGGATTTAGGCAGCTGTGGCGAGGCAGGCACCTTCAGTCTCGGCAGCTGCTTCGTGGGGGCAAGACCTGCCGGAGACGAGTTGCTGTGCTCCCTGTGCTGGGCCCGGGGGTAACCCATGAAATGCGGTACAGGACCGGTCCAGAATCTGCAGGTTCCACTGGGAGTCAGTCCGACAGGGCCAAGGCAGGACCCAGGCAAGGACAGGTACAGGATCTGGCAAACAGCAACGTTGCTCCCGCAACCTGGGGTGGGGTCCGACAGCCTTTTATCTTTGTTGGCGTAGCAGCCGGTCCTGATCCCCCAGCGACTCACCTCCCTGTCTCGCCTGAAGGCGAGCACTCCTCCTGCGAGTACTCAGGTCTCTCCTTCTCTCAGACCTCAGTCTCTGCAGCTCGGGAGACGTCAATGGGTTACTAGAAGAGTTTGGATTTGATATCCCGCCTTTCACTCCCTTTAAGGAGTCTCAAAGCGGCTAACATTCTCCTTTCCCTTCCTCCCCCACAACGAACACTCTGTGAGGTGAGTGGGGCTGAGAGACTTCAAAGAAGTGTGACTGGCCCAAGGTCACCCAGCAGCTGCATGTGGAGGAGCGGAGACTTGAACCCGGTTCCCCAGATTATGAGACTACCGCTCTTAACCACTACACCACACTGGCTCTCAGAGGCCACTAGACCCAGAGGCCGCCTCAGCCTCCCCTGACCCAACTGGTAGTGGAGCAGCTGTAAGTGATGGCCCAGCTGGAGGCAACGAGGTCATTCCTGCATCTGGAGCCAGGGCAGGCTCAGGCCCCTGACTCGGCCCAGCTGGTGCTTGTTGCAGGGGAACCTGTGCAGACTGGGGCTCTTCAGGATCAGGCCCCAGACTTGGTTCAGATGATGCCTGAGGCAAAGGATCTGGTGCAGACTGAGTCTCCTCTGGTTCCGAGTCCGAGGCCATCACACTCCCTAAGCCTGACACTCCGGTGCCGATCCTGTTTTGCTAATGAAGAGTTAACTCCGGCTTGCTCAGTGTGATTTACTGCTGCCTCGCTCCTGCCCTGCCTGCCCCTTTAGCTTCTCTTTCTTGCCCCCCCCCCTCTCTCCAGCTCCAAGTTCAGCCGGAAGGTGCAGTTTGTGGACAGCCTGGAGGAACTGGCCCACCTGATCCCTCTGGAGCAGGTCCACATTCCGGACTGCGTCCACCGGTGAGTACCTGGTGCTCTCACTCCCTCCATCCTCACCTGGGTCCCTGAGGAGGCAGCAGAAGGAGGGGGCAGCTTGTTACAGGTGGTTACATCACCACCATGCCTAAAAGCAAACTTGGGTGGGTGAGCACCGAGGGGATAAATGAGCGTAAGAAGGGCTGGAAGCCCACCTAGTCTGGCGTCCTGTGGCCAGAGGCCCCTAAGGACCTAGGAATCGAGATAGACTGCCTCTGGACCTGGAGGTTCCATAAGAATGCAAGAGGAGCTCTGCACATGGATCAGGACAAAGGGGGGGGGGCGTGTCCCGCTGCTGACCCTTACTAATGATGTCCCTTAAATTTCCCGGGTTTCAAAGGAAGCAGCTCCTCTCCCTCCCTCCCTGCCGGCCAGGGAGGAGGGAGGCTCCAACTGTGTTGCTTGGCTGCCTGGCCTCCTCTCACCAGCCTCGGGCCCCCGGGAGCCCCTCCCCACCAGGACTGGCGGGAGCCTCGGGCCCTTCCGCCGCCATTCTCCTCACAGCCGCCAAACTGAGTGTCTCTGCCTGGGGCCTGCCCTCTGCCCATCGCTGCCGCTCCCGCTAGACCGTACTGCGGCTGCGCCACCGAAGGACCTGGATGAGATGGGCAGCCTGGCATGGCCTATGAATTGCTGAGAAGCCTTGAGAGGAGAGCGAGGGCAACCATGGAGAAAGCAGTTCAGAGAGAGGAGGAGGAGGCGGAGGCGCGGGAAGGTGTACCAAGGGCTAACCATATTGGGGGAAAGCGGAGGACGGACCGCAAGCGCTTCTCCCACAGATTTGTAGTGGTAGCCTAGCATAGATGGTCTGATCTGCGGGTTTACTTCGGGCGCTATTCCCCCCCCCTTCCTCCCGCCCCGCCTGATGGAACTGAGAGCTGCAGATGGAGCACGAGAGAAAAGATACAGAACTGCAGCAGCATCTTCGTAGCTTGGACTTCGTTTTGCGCAAAAAGTGGTTGCTGCTTGTAGTTATTTAATTGCAGGGTTTCATCGGCTGGTGTCTTGAGCAGCAACCTCTGGAAACGAAGGGCTAAAAACCGGCGCTGCTCTCCAAAATTATCTGGTCCCTTTTAACTTCGTATTTCAGCTGATTGACTAAAATCCCTTATTTTGGCTACTGATTTCCTTATTTCCGAGGCTGCTGGTCCCTTATTTTCAAATCTGTAAGTTGACAGCTACGGTGTTAAGGTGGAACGGAACATCAATTTCCTAACACTTTCTACTCCAGAATCTTGCTCTCTTAGTGGACAAATGCCCCAAAGAAACAAGGAATCCAGATAGACTGCCTGTGGACCTGGAGGTTCCATAAGCATGCTGGATCAGGCCCATCTAGTCCAGCATGTTTTCCCCACATTGGCCAAGCACACACCTGTGCGAAACCACCACCATGAATTTGCCCTGTCCTCTTTCGAAGCCCTCTAGGTTTGAGGGCCTAGCTGCCTCCTGCAGGAGCGAGTTCCATAGATTAACTCTGCGCTGCATGAAATCCTTAAAAAAAGCAAAAAACAAAAACCTGCCTTGCATCTCCCAATGCTCAGCTCTGTCGGTTGTCAGAAAAATTGATGGATGGAATGGAGCGTTCTGCTAAAGGGAAGCCCTCCCTGCTGCCGCATTCTGTTGCAGCTCCAGTGTCCCCTTTCTGCAGGGAAATCTGACTCGTATCCCCAAAATGCCCAGTCCCACAATGCAATGGGGTTACTGAGGCATGGGCATAAGGGAGGAAGAGAAATAATATATACTGTATACTTAAGCTGCGTATACACCATGCATTCAAGCGCATGAATTCCCGCAAGGAATCCTGGGAACTGTTTAACCCCTCTCTGCACAACAGCACCCTGAACAGACTACAGTCCCCAGCATAGCTGTCAACTTACAGATTTGAAAATAAGGGACCAGCAGCCTCGAAAATAAGGGATCAGCAGCCAAAATAAGGGATTTTCCAAGCACAGGTATGTTCAACTTCTGAGCCCCTCCCAGCCAAAGGCAGAAAGCCCAGCCAGCAGCCAAACGAAGCCTCAAGCGGTGGTTCCCACAGCGCAGCAACCCGGCAAAGGGGATGCAGCAAGGAAAACCACCGTCCCCTCTCCGCTGGGAAGCGCTGAGCAAAGGCGAGTCCCCAGGCAACGCGGCCGATTTGATTGGCACAAGGCATGCAAGCTCCACCCCCCAGTCGTTCTTAGACTCCTTATTGGGTGAGCAATGCAGCCAAGCAACACAGCTGGAGCCTCCCTGGCCGGCAGGGAGGGAGGGAGAGGAGCTGCTTCCTTTGAAACCTGGGAAATTTAAGGGACATCATCCATAAGGAACAGCAACGGGAGACGGCGCTGGGATAAGGGAGTTTCCCGCCAAATAAGGGACGGTTGACAGCTATGGTTCCCAGGATTATTTGGGGGAAACGATGTGGTGTTCCCAAAGCAAAGGAAGGATTGGACTCTGATTAATAAAATACACACAGAGGCTTAACCAGCAAGACTCTGGGATGAGTGCGTATACAGTAATAATAATTCGTCTCCACCCCTCGGCCCAGGTCGTTTTATTCCCAAAAGAACTTTTTACACAGGGTTCGTAAGAACCAATCAGATTTCCTCTGAGCTTTTCAAAAACCCCATGTGGGACAAAGATCAGAAGAAATTCTTTTAACTACAAAGACTACTCTGAGCATGCATACATCTGAGAGTAAATAAAGCAGGGGGGAAAAGGAGGAATGCATTCAGCATAAAATGTAAACAAGCAATGCAGTGGTACCTCGCAAGACGAATGCCTCGCAAGACAAAAAACTCGCTAGACGAAAGGGTTTTTTGTTTTTTGAGCTGCTTCACAAGACGATTTTCCCTATGGGCTTGCTTTGCAAGACGGAAACGTCTTGCAAGTTTGTTTCCTTTTTCTTAACATCGTTAATACAGTTGCGACTTGACTTCGAGGAGCAACTCATAGAACGCGGCGTGGTAGCCTTTTCTGAGGTTTTTAAAGACTTTGGTGGTTTTTGAAGCTTTTCCAAAACTTTCCCGACACCGTGCTTCGCAAGAAAATCGCAAGACGACAAAACTCGCGGAACAAATTAATTTCGTCTTGCGAGGCACCACTGTAAACACGAGAGGAAGGATGGCAAGGAGACAGGTATCTTTATCACCTTCATGTGAAACTATTTCCAGGCCCTAAGATTAACCAAACCAAGGAAGGGTACGTCAAAGAAACGGCCTGCTATCTTTATGTACTGAGGATGCCTGATGAAGCAACTGGCCTGTGTTTCAGGATGCTATACGTGCCTGTCAGGTGTAGAGAAATCAGAGATGCAGAGGCTTGTGGGATTTGATCAGGAATTATTGTGAATGAATTAAAGCCAGCCAACGCAATGCTTTCATCGCAGACACAGTGGCTCGATGCATATTTTATAATTCCTCATGGTAATCCCATCCGATCACTGCAAAGTGAAATGATTGAAATGTGTTTTGGCAGTGTGTGCGATGTGTTTGCAACCTTGTTCGGTTTAATATTTGAATGTCTGACACTCTTTCTGTTCCCTTTCCCTCCATCTCTTCCAGGCTAGAGCAAGCCAGGGTCAGTTCCCGGAGCTAACAAGATGTGAAGTTGGCTGGATTACTTAGCACCTTATGACAGTGTTTTATTTTTATTTTTTTAAGTATCAAATGCTGACAAGCACACACATTCACAGGTGCCTCCTTCCTTCCCTCTCTGTCTCTAAGACCCTCTTAGAAACTGCGACCTGATCCTGTTTCTTAAACATTCCCCCCTTAATAATAATAATAATAATAATAATAATAATAATAATAATAATTTATTATTTATACCCTGCCCATCTGGCTGGTCTTCCCCAGCCACTCTGGGCGGCTTCCAACAAAATATTAAAATACCGTAATACATCAAACATTAAAAACATTTATTTAAAGAGGCTAAAAGGAAATGAAACTTACGAGAGTTTTGTTCCGCACCTGAATTCAAAACGGAGACGGATTCTGGGTACTGCAGGGCCTAACTCTGCGCGGGACTGACACTGAATGTGGCCCAGTGTCTCTGAGCACGTACAGAGTGCAAAGCTGGAACCAAGCATTCAACCTAAAGTTCTGTTCAGGAAAGCTCTGGGTCGACGATCTGCTCTCGGCTTGCTGCTGAGGTCATTCCTATTTAACGCCAATTTTTGTTTAATTCTTATAAGAGGCTGAAACGGCTAGAAACTTTTGCTCGCTAAACGAATCGCCGGTGGCTTTTCTGAGCTGCCGGCTACTCACTTTCAATAAGCGTACCTGGGGGAAAGGCTGAGGAGAGACAGTTTTGGAAGGGAATTTATTTTTCAGTTGGATGGCCCAAAACAAGAGAGAGAAGTGGGGGGTATTTTGGGGGGGGTGAGGGGTTCACAAACATGCTGCTTGGTTTGGGGGACCCAGATGAACCCACCTGGCCTGGCGCCTGCTGACTCTCCTGGGCATAACTTGTACATTTGTAAATAAACTGATATTAACAAAAGCCCCCAATGGGACGTTGAGTTTTTAGTGCTCCTCCTCCAGAACGAAAAAGCTACCTCCAAAATTTTCTATTGATCAGGTTGACAGGAAATGGTTTGTGCATTCTGGGAATAAAATACTGGATGTGGAAAACCTGGCTTTAATTTATTTTCTTGATGTAAAGCTATGCCTGCATATTTAATTGCAACATATACGTTAAGTTTCCTTCCCACTCGGAAATGTAAACCAGGTGAACGGCAGCTCATTTATCTGTCTTAAAAATTTGTTTTTAAATTTATTTCACCCTTCCTCCAAGGAGGAAATGTTTGTCTCTGCCTCTGTTATTGACCCTCACAACAACCCGAGACAGTGATTGGTCCAAGATCCGTAAATCATATCTATCTACCTACAGTGGTACCTCGGGTTAAGTACTTAATTCGTTCCGGAGGTCCGTACTTAACCTGAAACTGTTCTTAACCTGAAGCAGCACTTTAGCTAATGGAGTCTCCTGCTGCTGCCACGCTGCTGGAGCACGATTTCTGTTCTCATCCTGAAGCAAAGTTCTTAACCTGAAGCACTATTTCTGGGTTAGCGGAGTGTGTAACCTGAAGCGTGTGTAACCTGAAGCATATGTAACCCAAGGTACCACTGTATCTATCTATTATCTATCTATCTATATCTCTGTCTGTCTGTCTATCAGTCTATCAGTCTATCTCGCCACACACACTAGGGGCAGCTGCCCACCTTACAATGCTCGCCAACCTGCTCTACCCGCCCCCCCTCCAGCTGCCCCCAACCCCCTTGCCCACCCCCCCCTCTCTGCAGCCCCTCTTCCCAGCCAAGAAACCTTTTGATGATGGAATTACACCTCAGAAATACCTCATGGACAAAGGCAGTGAAGATGATTGGGACAGTGACACTGCGTCCTCACATGAACTGGAAAATGAACTGGAGGAAATGGAAGATAGACTGGAAGTAGATAACAGTACCACCGAGCACAAGTAAACTTGTAAAACAAAACTATGGCTTGTTGTTGTTGTTTAGTCATGTCCGCTTCTTTGTGACCCCCTGGACCAGAGCACGCCAGGCACTCCTGTCTTCCACTGCCTCCCACAGTTTGGTCAGGCTCATGCTGGGAGCTTCGAGAACACTGTCCCACCATCTCGTCCTCTGTCGTCCCCTTCTCCTTGCGCCCTCCATCTTTCCCAGCATCAGGGTCTTTTCCAGGGAGTCTTCTCTTCTCATGAGGTGGCCAAAGTCTTGGAGCCTCAGCTTCAGGATCTGTCCTTCCAGTGAGCACTCAGGGCTGATTTCCTTCAGAATGGAGAGGTTGGATCTTCTTGCAGTCCATGGGACTCTCCAGAGTCTCCTCCAGCACCAGAATTCAAAAGCATCCATTCTTTGGCGATCAGCCTTCTTTATGGTCCAGGTCTCACTTCCATACATCACTACTGGGAAAACCATAGCTATGGTCCAAAACTATATGGACCTTTGTCGGCAAGGTGATGTCTCTGCTTTTTAAGATGCTGTCTAGGTTTGTCATTGCTTTTCTCCCAAGAAGCAGGCGTCTTTTAATTTCGTGGCTGCTGTCACCATCTGCAGTGATCATGGAGTCCAAGAAAGTAAAATCTCTCACTGCCTCCATCCAGGGTTTTGAGGCTGCATTGCACTTGCGTGACGACAGCCTTACGTTTTTATGTATATAGGAAGATACACTATCTCACACGTGTAATGTGAGAGTGTTCTTTACCCTGAGACTTGAGGGATGCTTTTAGGACACATGTTATTTCTTTTATGATTGTACGAATTTTAAAACAGATTTTCATCATGTGTCTTGACGCTGTAACCCGCCCTGGAACCGTAGGGTGGAGGGTCATCAATAAATAAGCAAATCAGTGAATGAATGAATGAATGAGCCCAATATTCGAAAGAATTTGGTTGTGCCTCTTAATTTGCTCCAATATCGCTCCCTGGTCCTGAATGGGGTAACTGTGCCCCTGAAGGACCAGGTGCGCGGCCTGGGAGTCATTTTGGACTCACACCAGTCCATGGAGGCGCAGCTCAAGTCTGTGTCCAGGGCAGCTGTTTATCAGCTCCATCTGGTACGCAGGATGAGACCCTATCTGCCCACAGACTGCCTCACCAGAGTGGTGCATGCTCTAGTTATCTCTCGCTTGAACAACTGAACTACTTGAACTACTGCAATGCGCTCTACATGGGGCTACCTTTGAAGGTGACCCGAAAACTACAAATAATCCAGAATGCGGCAGCTAGACTGGTGACTGGGAGCGGCCGCTGAGACCACATAACACCAGTCTTGAAAGACCTACACTGGCTCCCAGTACGTTTCCGAGCACAATTCAAAGTGTTGGTGCTGACCTTTAAAGCCCTAAACGGCCTCAGTCCAGTATACCTGAAGGAGCGTCTCCACCCCTATCGTTCTGCCCGGACACTGAGGTCCAGCGCTGAGGGCCTTCTGGGGGTTCCCTCATTGCGAGAAGTGAGGTTACAGGGAACCAGACAGAGGGCCTTCTTGGTGGTGGCGCCTGCCCTGTGGAACGCCCTCCCAGCAGATGTCAAAGAGAAAAATAACTACCAAACTTTTAGAAGACATCTTAAAGCAGCCCTGTTTAGGGGAGCTTTTAGTGTTTGGAGAGGAAGGGTGTTGTATTAATAAATAATAATAATAATAATAATAATAATAGGCTCCCAGGACATTTCTGAGCACAATTCAAAGTGTTGGTGCTAACCTTGAAAGCCCTAAACGGCCTCATTCCAGTATACCTGAAGGAGCATCTCCACCCCCATCATTCGGCCCAGACACTGAGGTCCAGCGCCGAGGGCCTTCTGGCGGTTCCCTCGCTGCAAGAAGCTAAGTTGCAGGGAACCAGACAGAGGGCCTTCTCGGTAGTGGCACCCGCCCTGTGGAACGCCCTCCCTTCAGATGTCAAAGAGAAAAATAACTACCAAACTTTCAGAAGACATCTGGAGGCAGCCCTGTTTAGGGAAGCTTTTAATGTTTAATAGGTTATTGTATTTTAGTGTTCTGTTGGAAGCCGCCCAGAGTGGCTGGGGAAACCCAGCCAGATGGGCGGGGTATAAGTAATAAATTATTATTATTATTATTATCTGTCTTCAATCCCACCCCATTTTCATAAATCCCGCCTACTTTCCCTCCCCAGAGTTCCGCCCTTCCTTTGTTCTCCCCCAGAGTTCTGAGTGTGTTGCCTAGCGAGGCCCCGCCCCCAACGACAGCAGGCCCCGCCCCCTCCCTCCCCTTCCCATCCCGACCAGACCAAGACCTCCAGGCGCTGTCCCTGCCTGAGGTCGTAACCCGCAGTCCCCCTCCATGGCCCTAGGGGGCACCACTTTGGTGCTGACGCTCTGCCTGTGGGGCTGGCTGGCGCCCTGGCCAGGCCTGGGCGAGGAGACTGAAGACATGACCCAGATGGGGGCGCCGCCACACCTGGTGGCCCTGATCCCCGAGGCCGCCAGGGCGACGGTGGCGGCGGGCTACACCAACGACAACGAGACCCAGACGACCACAGAAGCGCCGCTGGTGTCGGTCTCCATCACATTCAGCGCAGGGACCTCGCAGGAGAAGGAGACCGTCCTCGTCGTGGGCGACAACCGCTACGCCTGGCAGGAGTGGAGCGAGTGGCACTGCAACTGCGCGGCGGGGAGCATGTCCCGGGTGCGAGACATCACCTACTCGCAGCCCGGTGTCCGCCTGGACCCGGCGGAGTACGACATCCTGCGCTTCGAGAGGGAGGTGTGCAACTACCAGGCTTGCCACTGCAAGCAGGGCCAGTGCAACTCCTCGACGCTGGCGTGCGACCAGGGGCCCATGCACATGTGCGCACTGCAAGACATCAAGCAAGACAAGGAGCACAAGAGGAAGGACTTCTGGACCCAGGTCCACGAGGGACTCAGGGACCTCTGGAAGAGCATCAAGGATGCCTTCCCGCCGGAGCAGGTGGGGGATGGATGGGCAGGCAGGCAGGGCCGAGGCGGTGCATAATGCGCTCCCTGTTTTGTTTATTCATTCAGAGCATTGGCACATCCCTGCTCTTTGGCCCAAAGGTCCCCCCAGAGTGGCTTGCGTACAATCTGTTCAAACGAGACGGCACCGCCACGCTGGCGTTCAATCTGGAAAACAATAGCAACACGACACGCAAGGAAAAAGGAATGGGGAGGGAGGAGGAAAACTCAAATTTCTCAACCAGCTCCTGTGAGTTAGGGCTGATGCAGGCGCACTCGCTGGTTGGGAAAGGCTGTTGGTGGCTATGCTCTGTGATGAACCGCAGCAGGGGAGAGCTGCTGTAGTGCTCAGGTCTTGCTTGGGTGCTTCCCAGAAGAGGGACCGAGTTGGCCATTGGGAGAACAAGGATGCTGGACTAGAAGGGCCCCTCTTGGCCAGACCCAGCAGGCTCTCCTGGTGTTCTTATGTCGGGGGGTGGGCTTTCTTCTCCGTGGGTGCAAGGAAAAATAGGCATATAAACGAAGTACTGCCAAGATCCAGGTTTGGGGCAAAGCAGAGATTTAAAACCATAAAACATGCAGCAAATAAAAGCATGGAAATATGCCCTTCTGAGTTCCTTCCAAAGTCCCCCTCTTCCCCTAGCATAGAAAAAAGACCATATGTTTAGTAAGTTAAAAATTGGTTTACTTACAAACTCCTCCAAGGTCAGGTTCATGTGCTTTCCCACACATCAGTCAGAAAACGCAGGCAGAAAAACGTGGCTTAGTTACAGTGGTGGAAGTTCCTAAATTATTGGTACAGGAACTTGAGCGTCTTTGTAAGAGCCACGCGGCCTGAACTTGGAGCAACCAGCTCAGACCTCTTTACACACCAAGCTTCTCAGGTAAACTGGAGGAGAACCAAGTCTTGATTATCTAGTTCCTTCCAAAGTGACCTAAGCCTGGCTAGACTGCTTACTCTATGGTCTTAACCCCTTCATGCATTAATTCAACTTAAAGGGACCCCTGACTATTAGGTCCAACGTGCTTTCGAACTGCTAGGTTGGCAGGAGAAGGAACCGAGCAACGGGACCTCACCCCATCGTGGGGATTCGAACCGCCGACCTTCTGATCGGCAAGTCCAAGGCTCTGTGGTTTAACCCACAGCGCCACCCGCGTCCCTAATTCAACTTAAGCATGTAGGTTATATGAGGTTGCTTATCCCCACAGGGAACCCTTCCTCTGATCCCCACAGCTGTGGAGACCTGTTGTTTCGAGTCGCAAGAGAGGGGCCCTGTGCGGCTGCTTTCTGCACGTGCTCAGAGGAATGCTTCCCGTCAGAATTACACCGCTTGCTTGGGGAGTGGATTATTTTTAATTTAAAGCAAGGTGTTTCCCCAGACCTCGCACCTGCCTGTCTCCTTTCCTACAACCAACCCAGGGGTAGCTCTGCTTGCATTGGCTCTGGGCCTCTCCTTCTGCCAGTATCCCGCCTTTCAGCTCACTAGTAATCACTAGAATTGTGCAAGGAAGCACCATCTCGCCCTTTCTTTAGTCAGATAAATGTTTTGGGCCGGCACTGAAAAAATTCCCGGCTAAGTTCGGAGCAAAGAGATTCAGCCAAGCTCCCAAAAGCTCGGCTGAGCAGGGCTCTTCCGATGTTCTCATGGAGCCTCCAGGTCTCCAGGCAGTCTATCTTAGTTCCTAGGTTCACGTGACGTTGGATCACAGTTCTCCATGGACCCGGCCAATGTGGTCAACAGTGCATAAGATCACAAGAGCCTGCTAGATCAGTCCAAAGGAGGCGTATCTAGTCCAGCATTCTGTTCTCACAGTGGCCAACCAGATGTCTCAATGGGAAACCAATAATAATAATAATAATAATAATAATAATAATAATAATAATAATAATTTGTTATTTGTATCCCGCCCATCTGGCTGGGTTTCTCCAGCCACTCTGGGCGGCTTCCAACAAAGATTAAAAATACATTAAAATGTCACGCATTAAAAACATCCCTGAATAGGGCTGCCTTCAGATGTCTTCTAAAAGTCTGGTAGTTGTTTATTTCCTTGACATCTGGTGGGAGGGCGTTCCACAGGGCGGGCACCACCACCGAAAAAGGCCCTCTGCCTGGTTCCCTGTAGCTTTGCTTCTCACAGTGAGGCAACTGCCAGAAGGCCCTCGGCGCTGGACCTCAGCGTCCGGGCAGAACGATGGGGGTGGAGACGCTCCTTCAGGTATTCTGGACCGAGGCCATTTAGGGCTTTAAAGGCCAGCACAAACACTGAATTGTGCTCAGAAATGTACTGGGAGCCAATGTAGGTCTTACAGGACCGGTGTTATGTGATCTTGGTGGCCGCTCCCAGTCACCAGTCTAGCTGCCGCATTCTGGATTAGTTGTAGTTTCCAGGTCACCTTCAAAGTGAGCCCCACATAGAGCAGACCCAAGCTCAGGAGCAACTCTCCCCTTCCTGAAGTATACCTGAAGGAGCGTCTCCACCTCCATCGTTCTGCCCGGACACTGAGGTCCAGCGCCGAGGGCCTTCTGGAGGTTCCCTCGCTGCGAGAAGCCAAGTTACAGGGAACCAGGCAGAGGGCCTTCTTGGTGGTGGCACCTGCCCTGTGGAACACCCTTCCACCAGATGTCAAAGGGAAAAAGAACTACCAAACCTTTAGAAGACATTTAAAGGCAGCCCTGTTTAGGGAAGCTTTTAATGTTTTATAGGTTATTGTATTTTAGTGTTCTGTTGGAAGCCGCCCAGAGTGGCTGGAGAAACCCAGCCAGATGCGGGGTATAAATAATATATTATTATTATTATTATTATTATTATTATTATTATTATTATTATTCCTGCCGTCTCTGGCAGCTGGTGTTCAGAAACATTGCATACTGTGAAGTATGGCCATTGTGGCTTAGGAGTCACTCACAGCCTTCTCCTCCTTCATGAATCCGCCCAGTCCTCTTTTAAAGCGATCCAAATTGCTGCTCATCCCTGCCTCTTGTGGCAGGGAGTTCCACAGTCTAACTATGCTCCGAAGAAATACTTCCTTTTACCTGTTCTTCCAAGGTTTACCTTCCTCGGATGCCCCTGAATTCTAGCATTATGCAAGAGGTAGAAAACCCTTTCCCTCTCCAAACTTTCCATGCCACCTACCGTTTAATAACCTCTTCTGTCGCATCTGACCTGCCTCACCTCTAGTGTCGCTCAAACAACTGTCAGAGTTGTTTGACCCTCCCAGCAACATCTTGGGGAGCTCGTCGATTCCCACGAATGTGTGCGTCATGTGTTTCCCCTCTTACATTTTAATTCTCTTTGCTTTTCCGTTTCACACTTCAGGAACCGAAGGCGAGGCGCCAACAGTGAAGGCCAAGCAGCCATGACGATTGCTGATTATCGGCCCTGAGTAGGGCCTTCTAAGAAACGTGGCGCTTGGGATCTCTCTCTTCTTCTACCCAAAAGCAAACGCCCTTGATTTGCCAGAACTGCTTTCGAATTGGCAACAGAGCGAGCCGGGAAAACAGGCAGGGCGAAGGAGGCTGTACCACGGACTGATGCAGCATGCTAAACCTTCTGTGTTGGAAAGAAAGGGGTTTTGTTTATTCTTTTGGGGTCTCCTCTGCCTTCCTATGGAGGCCCCCCTGCTGCTGCGAGCAGCTGAATAAAAAATGCTGATTCCTGAGTAGGTTTCCATTTTCTTTTTCTCTCTGGTTTAGAGAGACTGGGGCACGGACAGGTGACTTGTGGACAGGTGATATTGATGGCCTTACAACTCCCATCATCCTCATTCCTGACCAATAGGCACACTGAATGCTGAGGCCACGATGGGAGGCAGGAATCCTAAAGTATCTGGGGAGGAGGGCACAGATATCCCCCCCAGTACAGGATTGTATCTACAGTGGTACCTCGGGTCGAGTACTTAATTCGTTCTGGAGGTCCGTTCTTAACCTGAAACTGTTCTTAACCTGAAGCACCACTTTAGCTAATGGGGCCTCCTCCTGCTGCTGCTGCACTGCCAGAGCACGACTTCTGTTCTCATCCTGAAGCAAAGTTCTTAACCTGAAGCACTATTTCTGGGTTAGCGGAGTCTGTAACCTGAAGTGTATGTAACCCGAGGTACCACTGTATGTATTTTGAAAAAAAGTTGTTTGTCTCATTGCTACGCATCCCAAGCTCTCTTAAGGTAATGGTCAAGGGACCCCTGACCATTAGGTCCAGTCGTGATCGACTCTCGGGTTGCGGCGCTCATCTCGCTTTATTGGCAGAGGGAGCCGGCGTACAGCTTCCGGGTCATGTGGCCAGCATGACTAAGCCGCTTCTGGCGAACCAGAGTAGCACACGGAAATGCCGTTTATCTTCCCACTGGAGTGGTACCTATTTATCTACTTGCACTTTGATGTGCATTCGAACTGCTAGGTTGGCAGGAGCAGGGACCGAGCAACGGGAGCTCACCCCGTCGCGGGGATTCAAACCGCCAACCTTCTGATCAGCAAATCCTAGGCTTTGTGGTTTAACCCACAGCACCACCTGTGTCCCTTCTCTTAAGATGTCGTAACCAAATTTTGCATGGCCGTTCCCGAGATAAAGGCTTGCACCATGCTTTTAGAGCAGGTGATATCCTGCAAAGGATCCTGGGAACTGTAGTTCCTTGCTCACTGAACTACCATTCCCATTGTTGACAGGCGACAGCTCCCAGAATTCAATGGGGGGGGGTCCCATGCTACAAAGGCACATTGGGTTTGCTTTGGATCTACACTGTGGATTTGCCTGTAAATGTTTGGATGAAGTCTGAACCTTTCCAAACCGTACGGATTTTTAGGGAGATCTTCCTGAGTTTCCAGGTCCAGAGGTTGGGGAGATGTTCTGTTCTGGACACCCCTGGAAGGTGCAGACTCGTAGCCTAGGGGGTGCTCCTGGACCCAACATAGTTATGGGAGGCCCCTTTCAGACATAGGTGACTGGACCTCCGCACTCCACGCCCTGGTCAACTTCAGGCTGGACTGCTGCAATGCACTTTTTGTGGTGCTGCCCTTGAAGACAGCGCAGGAAGTCCAATTGGTAGCAGCCAGATTACTGCCTGGGGTTCTGCTTAGTGCTTGCATGACCTCTTTTCCATAAGCAACTTAAGACCCCAAATATCTGAAAGGCCACCTCCTTCCCTGTGACCTCCTGGGTGTTCAGATTGGCAGAGGGGACCCTCCTGGTAGTTCCACCACCCTCAGAAGTTCGGGGGGTCGTGACCCAAGACGGGGTCTTCTCTGCGGTGGCCCCTAAGTTGTGGATTTTCCTCCCCTGGCACCTTCATGAAATAGATTCCAGAAAATGCTGAAGATGCACCTCTTTTTCTGTTCAGGGAATCATAGAAGTGTAGAGTTCAAAGGGACCCCCGAGGTCATCCATTCCAACCCCCTGCAATGCAGGAATCTCAACGAAAGAATAAACACGGACCAACTCACAGACGGAAGAAAAGCTGCCAGGTGCGATTGGGTCACATCCATGCCATACCTTGAAAGCGCATTTAATGCACCTGGCTTCCACCCAAGAATCCTGGGAATTGTAGTTTAAGGGTGCTGGGAACTGTAGTTCTGCAAGGGGCTGAACTACAATTCCCAGGATTCCTGGAGCGGGGGGAAATGGGTATCGAATGTGTTTTTAAATCTATGGTGTGCACTGTGGACTTGAAGGTCCTCTAAGAACAGCAGCTGGGCCCATCATCTCTGGAGCCCGAACTTCATATAATAATGAAATATTGCAGGGTGGGACCTCAAGGGAAAGTCTCTAAAGAAGAGGAGCAGGCAGGTATCCTCATTTTCTCCCTCCTTCCACCATCCAAGACACAGATCCTGGCCATCTTTTGACTTTTTTTTTAATTTTTTCAAGCATACATTACACTCTCCAGAACAGGTCGCAAGTTGGCGGGGGGGGGGGGGCGGGAGGCAGCAGTGCAGGGGGAGAAAACGTTTTAAGAGGCAAAGGAAAATAAAAAATCTACCCCACTCGTCCTCTACCCCACCAGCCCAACCTTCCCACCGATCGGACACACCAGATTCTTGCATCCACCCCAGCGAAATTTCTGTGCGCAGATTGCGGCTTCTCCCCTCCTTTAAAAAAAATACTCTTTTAGGAAGCTTCCTCGTTATAATTAGACATCTTGGTCCGCCCCCCTCGCCCCCCCCATAAATTTCCTCGTTTACAAAAAAAGAAGAGAGAACATGTTTTCAGCAAACAAGCACACACCCGAATAGTCCAGCTATTTTTTCCCAAAAGCGACGGTTTCGACGCCAGCCCTGCTGGAGCGAAACCTAAGCAGTTTGACATCGAGTCACCCATTGAAATCGCAGAGGGGAGAGGTGGTTTCAGGAGCTTTGGGGGGTGAAATGGCACCGGCTCTGACATTAGGCAAAGTGGTGAACAGGGCAGGAGGTCGACAGTAGGTGGCGCCAGAGGCCACGGCGGACAGAGTCAGAGCCGACGTCATTGGCAGCCTGAGAAAATCTCCTGTTTGGTGTGGTCGGTCTCGGCCGAACCAGAAATATTTGGGGAGCGGGTCCAAAGTTACGGGGAGCAGGAATACAGGCATAGCTGCATTTCTAACCCGGTTTCCTTCAAGAGAGGATCAAGATTTGAGATTAATTTGGAGCGAAAGGACAGTTCCGGAGGTTTTCTTCAGCTCGAATGTGCCGGGGGGGGGGGAAGTCAGCTGAGTAAGGAGCGCAAACTTTGCCTCTGTGCAGTAGGTTAGCTTCCATCCTACATCAACGCAAGCAGGAAACAGGATCCGAGTTCGAATCAGGGAAAGGTTGCTCCAGGAGGGTGCGAAGGAGAGCCAACGAGGGGAGTGGCCTGGGGAGAGGGGGCGTGGCCTGCAGATGGTTCCGAGGGCCAGGCAGAGAGGTTTGGGGGCCGCTTTTGGCCTCAAGGATCGAGGCTCCTCACCCCTAGGGTCTAAATGACAATTCCCAGCTATCTGATAGCCTCTGGGTGACATCAGACGTAAATCCTACTCAGAGGAGACCCAGGGAAAGCAAGGGAGCATTTCAAGAGGTATACTCTGAGCTTGACTTAGCTGAATCTCGCCCTCCTGCATTTGTTAACTTTTTTTTAAAAAAAGATGGTAAAATGGCAGTAAAAAATTATTGGCCAGCACACACAGAAATGAAGGCAGACTCTGATATATTTCAAACCTGTCGTGTAATGAGCAAATGGATGGAAGTCTTCCACATCTTAATGTGAAAAGCAAAGAGGGGTTTTTTTTGGGGGGGTGGGCAATCAACAGACGACAAAGCTGGCATGGCTCAGGAAAGCTAAGCATACTATTTTTTCCTTTAACGAACAGAAAGATGTGGGCTTTTTATTTTTAATTTTTTGCAGTGGAACCCTAAAGCGATTCCAGAGTTCAGCCTGGCTGGCTTCATATTTCCTGCAACGGCCCTGCGAATAATAACGAGAGAGAAGGAATGTGGGTGGGAACGATCCGCCACCCGGTGCCAGAGCCTCATGAGGCATAGAAACTTGAAATCTGAAGTGCTCCCCCAACACCAGCCCCTAGCGCCCTTCCCACACACCCCACCTCAGAGTTCCTCCTTGGGAAACCCCATTCAGTCAGAAGGAGCAATTCTGGAGCGAGGAACTGGCCAGAGGGCTGAATTTCCTTCCGGGGGCAGCATGCCAGCTGTGGGCAGTGGTGCCAAGGAGCAAAATGGGCATAGCAAAGGATATAATTTTCGCTTTTGTGCAGTGGGCTGGTCCTTGCACCTTTTCACACAGTCCTCTCTGCGTCCCCGTCAGAGTTCAGGGACAAATCCCAACCAGGGAACATCATTCAGGATGCGAAGGAGGGACGGAGAGGGGGCGTGGCCTGTGGAGAGGGGCATGGCCTAGGGAGAGGGGTGTGGCCTAGGGAGAGGGGTGTGGCCTAGGGAGAGTTCCGAGGGCCAAAGAGAGCAGCCTTGGGGGCCAGATTTGGCCTGAGGTTCTCCACCCCTCAGGAGGAGAGTCAGGATTAGTCCTTAGCGATCAGATGGGGGGATGTTTCTGCGGAGAATTTCACGGGGTCAGAGAGAGGAACTTCCAGAAACTGGGGGGGGGGGTGCAGGGAAGCATCTGCCACCCACCTGAAATTGCCGGACTACAACTCCCATGATTCCCTCACTGGCCGTGCTGGGGCTGCTGGGAGTTGTAGTATGAGCACCTCCAGAGCCCCACATTCGTGGTTCGACGGGAAGAACTGAGGATCAAGGCTCCTGCAGTCCAAGCAAAATCTCAGTGAAATGTCCCTACCCCAACAGAATGACGAACTTTGCCCAGCTGTGTGCTTTTAACAGGAATATTGCATTTTCTTATATATATATAAAAGGAAGTTCCGAAATTGCCTTGATGTGGTCCAGAGATTTTCTCCCTCCACGATGCTTTGCGGCCAAAGAGGTGACAAGACCTTGCCATCATCTGGACCAGATCCTCTCCATCTTCCGTGTTTGTTCTCTCACTTTGCTTGGTGAAAAAACGTCTCTCCCATTTTGCTGCCCTTTGGTAGAGGAAGTCGAACATGCAAAGGCCGCCCTGCGTATGGGATGCTTTGCCGCAGGAAACCCAAAAACAGCCGCACCCCATCTTTAGTGACTGGCACAGAGAAGAGGTCTTCAGGAGCAGGAGCAAAATGCTGGCCAATTGTGGAAGGTGGCGACTGGCTAGTGCCTGTGACGTCACTAACCACACTCTCGCAGGCCTCCCAGTCATTTCAGCAAGGCTTTCACAGGGGAGATTCCGGCAGGGTGGCGCTCTGCCTCCCGCTCTTAAAAAAAACCCGTGCCTCATAGAAAGGTCGATCCTTCTCCCCCTCCCCAGAAAACAGCCAAAAATCCAGTGATTACACTTCCATGTAAAAAAAACAAACAAGTTACGATAAGTTCCTCTCCAGATTTTTTTGGGGGATGAAACAGAATGCACTTTTAAAAAATGAAGCAAAATGGCACACACATTATACATTTAAAGCACACGTACCCCGAGAACTGCAGTTTACTCCTATAGCGCTACAATTCCCAGCACCCATAGCAAACTACAGTTCCCAGGCTGATTGGCCTGGGGGTGTGTGTGTGTGGAAGAGGCTTTGGATGTGCTTTAAATGGATGGCATGTTCGCAGACGTAGATGCCTGCCCCGGGCGTCAATCTCCCTCAAACGCCCACCCCGATTCCTTGCAAAGTTCTGAAAAAGCAAAATGCGGCAGCCATGAAACGAAGGACGGCATGAGAGACTGACTGAAGGTCCAGAGATGCTTCTGCATATATTTTTTTTGGGGGGGGGGAGAAGAGAGAGAGGAAGCGGCAGCTAAGGGAGTGTTGGATTCAGCAAATCTTTCTATGCAAATCTGGGAGGCGAAAATTAGCGGCGGAATAAACTGCTGCATTTTTGTTGCTGACGCTCTTTTGAAAAAGAAAATCCAATCCGATTTCGTTTGGAATCAGTTTGCATAAGTTACAAAGGGTGTTCGGTGTCTTCTGAGCTTCGCCGACCTGCCTTGACAGGATCCGAGAAGGCCACTTGCGCGAGGGTTGTTTACATACTTATTTCTTTCTTTGGGTTTTCTCGATTCGTTAATTTGCCCGGGACCTGCAAGAAGAAAAGAGATCAGAACAAATAATTACATTCCCTCTCCACCTCCTGCCTGCTCCTCCACCTGAATTGGCAGGGGAAGTGAAAACTACTTAGAAAACAGCGTCTAAGCTACGTATTTTAACTCAAGACTTGCCCGGCAGTGGGGACTGTGGGATATGATACATTAGGTAGCATTCAAGTACAACATTCCTTGTTTTCCTAGAGTAGACATGCAAAGGGGATGTTTGTTCCGGCCAGACAAAAACTTCCTGTTTCCTCCTGGGTTGGAGCATCCTTCCTTTTGCATGTGACCAGAGGTGGGCGTGACCTTACCTGTGCAGGTAACAAAAGCACAAGACATGCTCCCTTCTTCTCCATCTTCCTTTCGTCTTGTGAACTGCAGTGACTACCAGCCTACAGTCACTGGGATTAACCCCCTCTATGGGGTAGATCCATATGTACATATTTGTAACTAAGCTTGCCTTCAGGGATCCAACTGTGAACTGATGATGTGAGTAAACTTTTATATATCAGTGGACGCTCAAGTTGCGAATGTGATCCGTGCGGGAAGCACGTCCATAACCCGCAGCGGCACATCCGCACACGTGCGGGTTGCGATTCGCCGCTTCTGCGCATGTGCAAACAGTGATTTGGCGCTTCTGCACATGCGCAAGCGCCGAAACCTGGAAGTACTTCCGGGTTTGGTGCAGTGCACAACCCAAAATCGCACAACCTGAAGCGTCTGTAACCTGAGGTATGACTATACTTTAAACAAGATTGTGGTGTGTTTATTCTTTTAAGAGGGATATAGGGGAACTTACTAGGAACCTGTGGGTTAAACCACAGAGCCTAGGACTTGCTGATCAGAAGGTCGGCGGTTCGAATCCCCGTGACGGGGTGAGCTCCCGTTGCTCGATCCCTGCTCCTGCTAACCTAGCAGTTCGAAAGCACATCAAAGTGCAAGTAGATAAATAGGTACCGCTCCGGCGGGAAGGTAAACGGCGTTTCTGTGCACTGCTTTGGTTCGCCAGAAGCGGCTTAGTCATGCTGGCCACATGACCCAGAAGCTGTACGCCGGCTCCCTCAGCCAGTAAAACGAGATGAGTGCCGCAACCCCAGAGTCGGCCATGACTGGACTTAACAGTCAGGGGTCCCTTTACCAGGAACCTAATAGTAAGAGGCTTAAACTAGCCTGCAACCAGCTATCTGCTCTGCGTTTAAAAGGGGGGTGTAAAACTCTGCTAAGTTCTGGAACAGGCACCCCAACCTGCGGCCCTCCAGATGTTTTGGCCTACAACTCCCATGATCCTTAGCGAACAGGACCAGTGGTCAGGGATGATGGGAATTGTAGTCCAAAACATCTGGAGGGACAAAGGTTGGGGATGCCTGTTACAGAACTTGCTAGCGCAAGTTAGGAAGGGTATTAATAAACAATATATCCTCTGCTGCCTCCCTGAACACTCCCACAGGGACTAGAGCTCAAACCTTGGGCAGGGAGCCAGGATTCCTGCTTCTACGGCAGAACAAGAAGCTAGTCCTTAATGATCAGATGGGGAACTTTTTTTAAAAAAAGGAAGAAGGGATTTTCGTTTCTAGCAAGGCACTTACACGGAAGAGAAAGCGGGGGAAACACCACAGAGCTACAAAACGTGGGAGCTGCTCCACTGTCGATCTCGGCCGCATTTGGATCTCATTTCATGCATTGCTCCCGTCTGATGGAAGAGAGAGAAAGAGATTGAGGTTAGGACTAAGCATCAGGAATAACTTTTTGAAGGCAAAAGCTGTTTGGTGGTGGAAAAAACAATGCTGTCCAGGGTTGTAAAGACTGCGGAGAGAATAATTGGGTGCACTCTTCCCACCTTGGATTAAAATCTATGCTGCCAGGTGCCATAAGAAAGCTGCAGAGATAGCGCAGGATAGTGCGCACCCCGGAAATGATCTCTTTCAGCTTCTGCCTTCTGGAAGAAGGTCCAGGTTATAAAGGCCAGGACTAGCCGCCTGAGAAACAGTTTCTACGCAAATGCAATTCTGGTTCTAAATGCAGCATAAGGGGTCTCTGTAGTATAGTGTATTTTATAGTAAGTATAGTATAGTATAGTATTTTAAAATGGGGTTTCAGAGTTTTTAGGGGTTTTTATAGTATAGTATAGTATAGTATAGTATAGTATAGTATAATATAGTATAGTGTATTTTTAGGGACGCGGGTAGCGCTGTGGGTTAAACCACAGAGCCTAGGACTTGCTGATCGAAAGGTCGGAGGTTCGAATCCCCGCGGCGGGGTGAGCTCCTGTCTTTCAGTCCCAGCTCCTGCCCACCTAGCAGTTCGAAAGCACTCTTAAGTGCAAGTAGATAAATAGGTACCGCTTTATAGCGGGAAGGTAAACGGCATTTCCGTGTGCGGCACTGGTGCTGGCTCGCCAGATGCAGCTTCGTCACGCTGACCACGTGACCCGGAAGTGTCTTCGGACGGCGCCGGCTCACGGCCTCTTAAGTGAGATGAGCGCGCAACCCTAGAGTCGGTCACGACTGGCCCTGACGGGCAGGGGTACCTTTACTTTACCTTATAGTGTATTTTAAAATGGGGTTTCAGAGTTTTTAGGGGTTTTTATAGTATAGTATAGTATAGTATAGTATAGTATAGTATAGTGTATTTTAAAAAGGGGTTTCAGAGTTTTATGGGGTTTTTGAATGTTTTATGTAGTTTTTCAATTTCCTTGTTCTGTATGGGACAATGACAATAAAGATATTGTATATTGTATATTGAACGGAAGCGCTTGGAAGGTAGCAGACCCTCCTTTTTCAAGCAGGCCCATCTGTCAGGATTCCTGCATTGCACGGGGTTGGACTAGATGATCCTTGGGTTCCCTTCCAAGTCCTCCATTCTACGACGACGGTGTCGGAAGTGGTCCTGCCACAGCACCTTCGATTCCTCGCATCCCAGCTGGATGCTGGGGGTTGTAACCAATGGCTCTCAAGTAGATTCTCTGAACAGGCCTAAGTTAGCCCACCTTCATTCGTTCAGATGGGTCTACTCGGAGGAGGTTGGATCCAGCCCACGGGGATGCAGAGTGCAGGACTGGGGAGATGAATTGTGGGACGAAAAGAGAAGGGCAACTCATAAAACCACCACCTTGGAAATGCAGAAAGGGCCTCCAAGACAAAATAAAAACACCAAAAAATAGAAGAAAAGAAAAAAGAGAGAGGGGGGGAAATAAAAGGGACTTCCAACCCTCTGTTTGTCAGTTACAAAAAAAATAAATCACTGAAAATATTCACTCTATATTCAAGAGAGCGGGGCCCTGAGCTATAGCTTGTTTAGCTTATACGTAAATCTGGCACTGGGGGTGAAGCGACTGGGGTGGCAAAGGCAGGGCGGGTTTTTGGCTGGCGCTATCTCAGCTGGAGAAGCGAGGGCGCGGCATCTGGCTGCTGTTCGGATCTCCCTTTTGCACACAAGACTCTCAGCGCCAGCTGGTCGAGGAAGGATGAAGCCCAGAAGCACACAGAGGCATGTTTGCAAAAGGGGAGGGCAGGCTGTGGCAAGCCCAGGTTCTGCCAGCCCTGGCGTTCTGAAACTGTCAAAATCTGTCTGCTGCAGCTTTTGAGCCTGATTAATAAGCAGGGCTCTCTGTTCCCTGGCAAACGTCAAAAACGTCCTCTTCCATCTCACCTCATTGTTGGAGGGGTTGCGATTAGCTTGGCACAGCTCATCCTTTATGGCGGGAATTTAACTTTGACACAATATTTGGTAAATATTACGAGGGTTGCTGTACGTCTGGTTTTTTTTTACTTAAAAAAACTCACCAACTTTCCTTAAAAAATTGAACAATTCCCCCCCCCCAAAAAAGCTCAGCCAACTTTTTGTGTCCGGAGTTCTTGAAATATGGCAACCCTAATAGAAATCAGGAAGATGGAGTATTTAAAAAAGAGAGGAAAATGTTTGCAGGATATTTGAAGAACCGTGTTAACAGGTTAAACTTTAGCAGGGTTGCAGTAAACTCAGCAGTTTAGAGTATATAAAGCGGAAGGAGGCGGAAGGAGAACAAAAGAATTTATGGAGCAATTTTAAAATGCAGCCGTAATGGGTATATATACAGAACCACGGAAGGGGAAGTCGATGATTCTGATTGTATGAGTAAATTGAATGGAATGTGAAAATTTGTAATGGAAAAATGTATATTTTTTTTCATTAAAAAAGAAATACTAATGAAACGAGGGTTTGCTGTCCAAAATTAATGGCGCCAAATATTTCTGATGATACCAAGAGAGATATATTGTCAAAAGAACTGGCCTTATATGTGATCTTGACAGATGGGCTAGTAATTGCATCTCAACAGAAAACAGCCCAGAATTTCGCACTTGGTATCGCTCGCTTTGCAATATTGGTATAATGGAGCAAATTATGCATGATTTGAGATATTGACAACGACTAGAAGCTCCAGACACTTTAAATATGATTATGCGTTCCTTTACAGCTAAACCAGTCCTGGAACCAGACATGATAATGTTGATAGTCTCGATTTGGGATTTATTTATTTTTTAACCCATGTGCAACTGAACTCATTCTACATGCCTGATTTACAGTTTTGTTTTTCCTCTAGATTTGCATCTGTGAATGCAACTGCCCTCTCTGGTTTATATACATTATAAAATAAAAAATAAAAACAAACTTTACAAAACCAAAATTAAAAATAAGGGCTGTCGCCCTCAAACAGCCACTAGAGGGCGGGCGAGGGCAAACCTTTCCTTCCCCATAGAACCTAATGAAAAACCCACATCCTGCCATTTGCTAGAGTGGATGGGAAAGGTTTGTATCTGCTGCGCGGAAACGCCCAACTCCTTCCGAACCCAAACCGAACCGCCAAAGAGAACAGAGGTTTACCATGGGAAGACCCTCATTCGCCATGTCTCCGGACCCGATGTGCGTCAGGTGGACGAAATTCATGGGCTCCCCTATCATGCTGCGGTCGATTCTCCGCCGCGTCTTTTTCGGCTGCGGGGGGAGAGCGGAGGAACAGGACAGAAGGAAAACATCACCACCGGAGTCGAGGAAACACAGAAACGGGGCTTCGCCTGAGCCAGAAGGCGAGCAAAGCCTTTGGCGCATTGGAAGCGCCACTTGGAAGAGTCCGGTTGCTGGGTCAGGCCAAAGGGGGTCCATCAAGTCCAGCCCCCCTTGTTCCCACAGAGGCCAAATACCCCAAGAACCGGACTGTCTCGCCAGAGTGGAGCATGCTCTGGTTATCTCCCGCTTGGACTACTGCAATGCGCTCTATGTGGGAATACCTTTGAAGGTGACCTGGAAACTACAACTAATCCAGAATGTTGCTGCCAGACTGGTGACTGGGAGCGGCCGCCAAGACCACATAACACCGGTCTTGAAAGACCTACATTGGCTCCCAGTACGTTTCCGAGCACAATTCAAAGTGTTGGTGCTGACCTTGAAAGCCCTAAACAGCCTCGGTCCAGTAGACCTGAAGGAGCAGCTCCACCCCCATCATTCAGCCCGGACACTGAGGTCCAGCGCCAAGGGCCTTCTGGCGGTTCCCTCATTGCGAGAAGTGAGGTTACAGGGAACCAGGCAGAGGGCCTTCTCGGTGGTGGCACCCACCCTGTGGAACGCCCTCCCACCTGATGTCAAAGAGAACAACAACTACCAGACTTTTAGAAGCCATCTGAAGGCAGCCCTGTTCAGGGAAGCTTTTAATGTTTAACAGACTACTGCATTTTAATACTTTGTTGGAAACTGCCCAGAGTGGCTGGGGAAGCCCAGCCAGATGGGTGGGGTATAAATTCTATTCTATTCTATTCTATTCTATTCTATTCTATTCTATTCTATTCTATTCAGAACCTGGAAATCTGGATAGACTGCACCTGGAGCTGGAGGTTCCATAGGAACACCCAAAGATCCTGGCTACCAGATCAGGCCAAAGGGGACCCATCCAGTGGCGTAGCGTGGGGGGTGCAGGGGGGGCCGGCCGCACCGGGCGCAACATCTGGGGTTAGGGCAAATCCACAGGTTAGGGGGCGCAAATCCACGGGTTAGGGGGCGCAAATTACTTGCCTTGCCCCGGGTGCTGACAACCCACGCTACGCCACTGGACCCATCTCTTGTACAGAATCCGGTTCTTAAGAGTAGCCAACCAGAACCCGGATGGAAAACCGCAAACAGGAGCTGAGCTCTGCCCTCCTGCAGTTTCCAGCAACTGGTATTCAGAATCATAGCTGCCTCTGAGATAGACTCATGGAATTGTAGAGTTCGTAGGGACCCTGGGGCCATCCAGTCCACCCCTGCAACACAGGAATCCTTTGCCCAATGGGGACTTTGAACCAACGAACCCGAGATTCAGGGTCTCACGCTCTACCGACTGAGCTATTGGAAGCAGATTGTTGGATGAGGGCGATTTCTGTCCCTTTATCATTAGACCTGTTAGTGATTAATTACCGAAAATCTCTATGTGATTTAAGAGGCAGTTTTTAATGTTTGATGTCTTATTGCCTTTTTACGTTTCGCTGGAAGCTGCCCAGATTGGCTGGGGAAACCCAGTCAAGATATACCTTGTGCCACAGAAACTAGAGAAAACAACACGATCCGTCCAAATAAACAGCTGCAGGAAACTTTGCCAGTGTGTTGGTAACAAAAACAGTCATTATCTCAAGCCACTGTACATTCAATGTACTCTGATACCGCCCTAAACGGCCGAGGCTTTCCCCCAAAGGATTCTGGGAACTGTAGTTTGTTACAGGTGAGAAGAGTTGTCAGGCGACTGTTCCCTGGTATTCGCCTCCCAGACCTACAGTTCCCAGAGTGGCTTAGCAGTCAACCCCTCTTAGGGGAAATAATAATAATAATAATAATAATAATAATAATAATAATAATAATATTTATACCCCGCACATCTGGGCGGCTTACAGCATACAGTGGTACCTCGGTTCTCGAACGTAATCCGTTCTGGTAGATGGTTTGACTTCCGAAACGTTTGAAAACCGAGGCGCAAAGGGCTGGCTGAGAGTTCAATTGGAAAAATGGAAAAACAGGCAGCGGAAGCCGTTTGACTTCCGAGGTGCGTTTGAAAACGGAAGCAATTACTTCCGGGTTTTCGGCGTTTGAAAAACGTTCGGCTTCCGAGACGCTCGGAAACCGAGGTACCACTGTATCTTAAAACATATTAAAAACATCGAGCCTTAAAAAACGCTTGCCAACTCTCTGCACTGGAGCATTCCAAGGGCAGGAAAAACCACCCCCAAGGGCCGAATTCAGACCTCTGGCCTGTTGTTCTCCACACCTGGGCTAAGAGATTCAGGACGACCCACCTGCCGCGATTTCTCTACGACGCAGCAACCCAGCTTGTGCCAGAAATCGCTCATATTCGTTGAGGATTCCAGGTTTCCGCCTAGTGGGTCGATCTTCTCTCAGATACTGGTAAGCCGGACCCCTTTCCGCGTGCCGGATCCTTCTCTACGCAGGAAAGTTTCTGCGACTGCTGCAACCCAAAGCTGCTTTCTTCCTCCCCACCACCACTGCAGGGTCCAGAAAATTCACACGGCGGCCTCCGAGATCATTCCGCGACCTGAGACGATTCCGCCGTTCCGGAGAAAAGACGCTGGCGGAGATTTGCGGAGTTCGTTCCCGTGCCCTGACAGCGAGGCAGAAGCAAATAGGACTCCTCAGACGTTTGAAGTCTACCTTTGGGGAAGGGAGGAAAGAGAGAGTCATTTAGGAGATTTTAAATATTCCTTAAGAACATGAAGGTGTCAGAAGAGGCGTTCTGGATCAGCTCAGCAGCCTGGTCTCATAGCAGCCATTGTACAGTCAGGAAGCTGGGGTTAATGGGTCACTGGTCTGATCCTGCAACAAGGCTCTTATTTTTATATGGAGGGCTCCCCCCCCGCTTGAATCGCTCAGAAACCCCACCCACCCTTGGCGAATCCAGGGTCCTGTTGAGGAGCAACAGATCGGCCAATGGGAGGCTGAGCTCTGACTTCCTGCAAATCCTGCGCTGCAAATCCTCCAATGGGAGCTGCGTGACGACAGCAGTGCATTTCTATGTATATAGCAAGAAACTGCAAACAGCATCAGCTACGAGTATTAGGATCGCAGAGGCTGTGGTGTTTTTTCTGGCCAATTAATTTGAATTTCAAAGATTTTTAACAATTTAACTTCAAATTTAGTACAAGTTTAAAATATTTTTTATAAGTTGGTTTCCCCTTGATGTTTTCATTCCCACCCTTTCCTGCTGTATTAAATGTTTGTTTTCCTTCTGGGATTGTACCCCCAAGTGTGTTTTATAAGCTGGTCTCCGACCGTAATAAATTATCTAGCTATCTACAACATACTTTTATCTATTATATTTTCCCTTCATTACAATTAATTATTCCTTTATTTCCCCCCTTTTAAAAATTCATTGTCGATTTCCCATCCGCTGCTATGTTGGATCCTGTTCGAACTTCCATGGACTTTTAATAATTTTCCAGATAGTCCAAAGAAGGTTCAAAACTTCCATAAAGCTTTCAATATTTCAACATTTTAATCTCTTAATTATACTGTCTCCTTTGTCATGCCCAAGGCTTAATAACCCTTTCCTGCCCTGTTTTGGTCCTGAGGGGGAAATTCTCTTTTGGGGAAGACTGTTAATTTGACTTTACTTCCCTTTTCTTAAAAGGACACCTTCTTACTGAAGGGCGTTGCAACACAGATCGCCCCACAATTTCCCTTCGAGGAAGATCAGACCCAGCAGATAAGACCTCCTTTTCTACTGGTCGACTTGACTGCTCTCTGCAGATAACAGGAAACCGAGTGTTTCCATAGAACCAGACTGGAGTGACTTATTTTTCGTAAAAAAAGAACTCTAAATGAAAAAGACGCCACTTCCTCATTTTGTAAGCGTTGCCACAGAGAGAGACTCAGCGAGGGTCACTGGCTCTGGGGCTTGGATTTCTCAAGCTTTCGCGGCCACCTGCGTCACACGACGGGCCGGAAAGTCATAACACAACTGCTGCGCAATCTGATGTGTGTTTACTGAAAATTGAGCCCACTGAGCTCAGCGGAGCTTGCTCTGCGTCGGATCCCAGCCTTGCAAATAATAAAAAACCCACTTTTTTAAAAAAAATACAGAGGTCACACATTTTGAGCACTCTTACAACGCTTAAGGAACCATAGTTCCTCCCTGCAAAGAATCTTGGGAACTGTAGCTGACCCACTACGGTGCTGCGGTTCCCAGAGCCCTTAACAAAAACTATGATTCCCAGGAATATTTGCAGGAAGCCATGTGGCCAGTTGGTTAGAGAGTGTTCTGGTGGGCAGAGATTTCAGTCCCCCACTTTTTTTCTGAACAAACACAAACCACTGTGTTGCAAAATGTAAGAATCTGCAAAAATGCAATAGAACACGATGGCTAATAACTGTGAGGGAATACAGTGGTACCTCGGGTTAAGATAGATAGATAGATAGATAGATAGATAGATAGATAGATAGATTCTTTATTGTCATTACACAAGTGCAACATTGCACAAGTGCAACGAAATTGGATGCCATCTCTTAAAAACAACAAAAGCAAAACAACAACAACAACCAAACAAACCCCCTTCCAGCCACACCCACACCCACACCCATCAAACTCCCAGGTCTCCCTATCGAGTTACAGCATTCAAAAAGGCCACAGCTCTTGGATAGAAACTGTTTTTCAGTCTATTTGTCCTTGACTTGATGTTTCTATACCTCCTGCCAGAAGGCAGTAGTGCAAACAGACTGTATCCCGGGTGAGATGGATCCTGCAGGATGTTGTTTGCTTTCCTAAGGCAACGGGAACCGTACAGTTCTTCCAAAGGTGGGAGAGGGTGACCAATAATCCTTTGGGCTGTGGTTATGACCTTCTGGAGCACCTTCCTCTCCCTAGCTGTACAACTGGAGAACCAAGCACAAATACAGTATGTAAGTATGCTCTCTATGGAGCCTCGGTAGAAGGACACCAGCAGTCTCTCACTCAGATTGTTCTTTTTTAAAAGTCTGAGGAAATAAATTCTCTGCTGGGCCTTCTTCACCAGAGCAGTGGTATTTGCGCTCCAAGTCATGCCCTGATCGATAGTCACTCCCAAAAACCTGAATTCCGCCACCCTCTCCACCCGTTCCCCGTTGATATACAAGGGCTGAATGTCCGCCTTTTTCCCCCTGTAATCCACCACCAATTCCTTGGTCTTAGCCGTATTAAGAGCCAGATTGTTCTCTCCACACCAAACACAGAGCCGCTCCACCTCGTCCCGATAGGCGGACTCATCCCCTCCTGAAATGAGCCCCACCACCGTAGTATCATCAGCAAACTTGATGATTTTGTTGCTGGAGTAGATGGCTGTACAGTCATACGTATAGAGAGCATAGAGCAGGGGACTCAACACGCAACCCTGTGGTGAGCCGATGTTAAGGCTAAGGGCTGTGGACACATGTGACCCTACTCTAACCCTCTGAGAACGTTCTGACAAAAAATCCAAAACCCAGAGACAGGTGGAGTTGGAGAGTCCAATCGTCTCTAGCTTGGACACCAGTCTATGGGGGAGGATAGTGTTAAAAGCAGAGCTAAAATCCACAAACAGCAGCCTCACATAATTCCCCGGCTGCTCCAGATGGGACAGAGCAGCATGGAGAGTGGTGGTGATAGCGTCTTCTGTGGATCTATTTGCCCTGTATGCAAACTGGTAGTTGTCAAAAGTTGATGGAAGACAGGAAATAATATGACGGCGCACCAGTTTCTCAAAACACTTCATGATGATTGGAGTCAGTGCAACTGGTCTGTAGTCATTCAAACTACTGATTGTGGATTTTTTAGGCAGAGGGACAATAGTTGACGACTTCAGGCAGGGTGGGACAATAGACTGGTGTAAGGACTTGTTGAAGATCTTAGTAAAGACCCTCGCCAGCTGATCCGCACAGCCCTTCAACACCTTTCCAGTGATGCCATCAGGTCCAGCCGCCTTCCTCGGATTCACCATCCTCAATACTTGTCTCACCTCGTGCTCCTCTACAGTGAATGAGGGGCCCCTATGGGCTGGTGGCTGTAATACCGGCGTCTCAGGTGGCTCCTTCTCGAAGCGAGCAAAGAAGAGGTTAAGCTCCTCCGCCAGCAAAGGGTCACCGTCGACAGCGCCAAGGTTAGGTTTGTAGTTGGTAATATGCTGAATCCCCTGCCACATCTGTCTTATGTTGTTGCTCCTTAAATTATCCTCAATCCTCTGCCTATAATCCAGTTTTGCCCGTCGAATACCCCTCTTCAAGTTTGCTCTTGCCACACTGTAAAGCTGCACCTTGCCCGACCTGAAAGCCCTGTTCCTTTCCCGCAGCAGGCACTGGACCTCTCCATTCATCCAGGGTTTTTGATTAGGATAAAACCGGATGGATTTATTTACTGTGACAGTGTCTGTGCAGTGATTGATATAGCACAGAACTGCCGCCGTGTGCTCCTCCAGGTCTGAACTATCGAAAATATCCCAATTGGTTCTCTCAAAACAGTCCTGCAGCTGGTGAATAGCACCTTCAGGCCAGATTTTAACAGATTTTAATATTGTAGGAGCCCGTTTCCTGAGTGGGATATATGCTGGTACCAGGAACAGAGACATATGGTCGGACTGGCCCAAGTGTGGCAGCTGTAAAGCCCTATAGCCGTGATTTACATTCGAATAAACTTTATCCAGTGTCTTATCCCCTCTTGTGGGGCATTTCACATGCTGATAGAGCGTTGGAAGCACTGTTTTAAGTTCAACATGGTTGAAGTCTCCCGCAATGATGTGCACAGCTTCAGGATACTTGTCTTGCTGACTGCTGATAAGGCTCTGCAGGCATCCCAAAGCCAAGTTGGCATTGGCATCTGGTGGCACGTACACGCCAGTTAGCATAACAGCTGTGAACTCCCTAGGGAGATAGGCTGGTCTACATTTAACAGCCACATATTCCAAATCCGGTGAACAGTGACTGCCCACAATCTTAGAATTATTGGACCAGCATTTGTTCACATATACACACAGCCCCCCTCCTTTGGTTTTTCCGAAGTCCATGCCTCGGTCCTGACGATGTACCGCACAGCCTTCCAACTGAATAGCTGTGTCTGGTATGGACGGTTGAAGCCATGTCTCAATGACAAATAAAACGCAGCAATCTTTTACAAGGCTATTCTTTGCTGCCTGCAGTACTTAATTCGTTCCGGAGGTCCGTTTTTAACCTGAAACTGTTCTTAACCTGAAGCACCACTTTAGCTAATGGGGCCTCCCACTGCCGCCGCACAGCCGGAGCATGATTTCTGTTCTCATCCTGAAGCAAAGTTCTTAACCTGAAGCACTATTTCTGGGTTAGTGGAGTCTGTAACCTGAAGCGTATGTAACCTGAAGCATATGTAACCCGAGGTACCACTGTATATCATGTGTTATGATGTCATTCAAAATATACGACTAAGCCACTTTAAAATGATGTATATATCATACAACACATCTCACAAAATATACAAGTAACTTCAAGTTGTTATGTGTATCAGAGTCAAACAAAGAATCAAACAGATCAAGGAATAGCAAGGAACGCCAAGCCGTCTCTCAAAGGAAGACATCTCACAAAAGTCTCAAATAACAACAACAACAACAATTTTTTATTTGTACCCCGCCATTCTGGCTGGGTTTCCACCGCCACTCTGGGCAGCTTCCAACAAAGAT